TTCAGGGCCTGAAGATTGCATTCTACGAAATATGGCTTCGGCTTTATTGAATTGGCCACCTCTTCCATAAGCTTCCATAAGACCAGTATACGATACAACATGTGGTGGATAGCCTTTTCTGTGCATGTAACCTAAAACCCTTTCTGCTTTGTTGAACTGCCCTTGCTTTCCGTACGCTGTAATAAGCATCAGCAAATCCATTTCCTTAAAATCCCACCAATGTTGTGTCCTTAGCCATTCGAGGATCTAGGAGAAGAAAAAAGTTTCAAATCGAAATGGAATACGATAATGTTATTGGAAACAGTACAAAAGTATATTAATTACATATCGCAAGAAAGACAAATTAGATCATTCATTGTATAGTTTCAATCATCCAAGATTAGGCAGTCGTTGGTGTATACGGGATTCGAAATTAAACACATTTTATATGAGCAACATGCTTCAGCTCTATATCGTAAGGCCTTGTTTGGTTGGTAAGGTAAACCATGATCGATTAGATAATTAGGCCTTAATTTGATGTTTGGTTTGGTCAGTGCAATACGGAAAAATGAGCTCTTATCTTGGCTTATTGAGGGATTGTGTAGATAGCACAATCTTATCTTGGCTAATCTTACATTGGGAACCAAACGAGGCCCAAATACCATGATATGTTAGTGACCGAGTTTTTATTATAATCTCTGCGAACAGCAACTCACAACACTAACATTATTGTTTCTTGAAAACATCGAAAAAAACACGCAAAAGAAAATGATAAAAAAGGACATATCCATTGCAAAATCAAGAGAGAAAAAATGAAGGGTGAGGCTTCGATGAATATATACCTCACTAACGAGATTCCATTTTTTGAGCTGCTTAAATCTAATTAGAGTTCCCACAATCATGTCTTTGGGCAGAGGCTGGTTTTTGACCCTCCTGGTTTTGAGAACTTCAGTGGCGGAATCGGATTCCTCGATTTCGAGCATCAATTTCCTCCAATTTTTCTGATCAGCTTCGTCGGCTGCATCCTTAAAAACCTCGATTTTTTTCCTTCTTTGCATGAACTTTCTAGGTGCTAGCATTCCAAGACATACTACTTCTGCTCTTTTACATATTCTAACATTCGCATCAGCCGAATTCTCGCAACCGTATGATTTGCTGGAGTCAACAAAACATGTTATAAACAAAATCAAATTAAAAAAAAAAAAAAAAAAAAAAAAAAAAAAAAAAAAACGTTTCACACACACACACTCACTCAGAGAGAAAAACACACATATCACACAATTTGATGCTCATATCTACCTATTATCAAATTCAATTCAACAAATATTTACAAATAGCAAGTGAATGTAGTTATTTATGCCTCTTCACACACACACACACTACGAGAGAAAAACACACACGTATCAGACAATATGATGTAGATAACAACCAATTTCATATTGTTCAAAACGAAACTGTTATCACATTCAATTTCAGCAAACATTTACAATTAACAAAGGGGTGAATCCCACCCATAATAACATGACGACGAAGCGAAATTTGTAAAAGAGTGAGTTATCACACGACTTCCCTTGAGCACAAAGTTTGCCCAATAAGCTTCTCTTTCACACTCACACAGACAATTTTATGTCGATTATCTACCTACCTATTTCATATTGGGAATAACCAAACTATTATCAAATTCAATTCAACAAACATTTACAGTTAGCAAGTGATGACCTAGATATCTATCCCCTTCATTCTTCACACACACACACACACACACACACACACACACACACACACACACACACACACACACATTCACACACACACACACACACACACACACACACACATTCACACACATTCACACACACACACTGAGAGTGAAAAATAAATACACACACATCAGACAATTTGATGCAGAGTGAGTTCACACACACAGACACACACTGAGTGAAAAATTAAACACACACACACACACAGTGAGTGAAAAATTAAACACACATATCAGAAAATTTGATGCAGAGTGAGTTCACACACACACATACACAGTGAGTGAAAATTAAATACACACATATCAGACAATTTGATGCAGAGTGAGTTCACACACAACTGCACAATAAGCTTCCTTCTACAAACATGGTGATTTTAGGGCAAAATTAAAAAAAAATGCGGAAAAGGAGAGTAAGAAGAAACCTCCAAAGAGCAGTGGATGGAGCAGAAATGAAGGGTTTGAGAAACATTGTCGAAGTTTGAGGCATTTTAATTTAATCTTCTTCAAATTCCCATACCACCTTCTCCTCAATTTTTCCCCACAGCTTCCACACACACACACACACAGGGATTCGCAAGCGGGACTCTGCTCTGAGAAGAAGATTTGATTTTCTTTTTTTAGATATTTGTTTTTTGTGGATAATTACTTTTTTAGAAGGTTTATGCTGTTTGCCTTTTTTCTCTATATTGCTTCTTGGTCCCTGAACTTGTTAACAATTGTGAAGTAGTATATGAAGTTGAGCAACATATTAATTCATTTAAATGTAATACAAAAATATGTGAGTAACTAAAAACTACATATCAACATTATTAAAACATTTTGTAACAATAATTGGGGATTTACGATATTGTAGATGCTACGCCCGACGAAATATAACGAGTAATCTTGCACTATTGATTTACAGATTATATGACACACACTCGTGTGTGTGTATGCTTAGTGAGTGGTTATTTTTGTCTAATACTGTTTTTTTCTTTTTCTAAAAATAATATATTTTTTCTCATATAATAGTTTGCAAAGCATACGAGAAACATAACCACACTAGGTTGACCATGTGTGACAAGATCAACCTAGCGGCCGATTGTAAGATAATTTAAACTTGAGTCAATTAACACAAATTCCTTGCTCCAACTGCTAAGTCATTTTCATGGGATTGTAATAATAATATTTAAAATCTACAATTAAAAATAAATATAGTTTTACCTCTAGGTTTTTATGGGCTTTGAAATATCACAACATACACATTGGGCATTGACATCTGGCCTATTGTTTTGGCCCAATCAAGTGGAGAGATCTAAATAACTAATAAAGCCCATCTCATTATTTTGAGGTACGTTAATTTTTTTAGGGTAAATTACAAACCCCCCCCTGAGGTATCGTCAAATTACAAAACCTCCCTCTTGTTTGGATAATTACATCTACCCCCTCAGCTATGATTTTTTCTTAAACCTCCACCCTTATGGTGCCAAATTCAACATAATCATCTAGATTTCGTGGAATGTGCTCTAGTTTGTACTCGTTTTGTGTAAAAATACAGTTTCCGATGCACCACAAACTGATATATACAAGCTAAAAAACACATATTATGATCATCTTACTTCATAATGTAGAGTTCGAATGGGATAAAACGGGTACAAAAGTAATAATATTCCATATAATCTCGAACATTCCACTAAATTTGAGGAGTTGAGGGGGTGGTTGTAATTATCCAAACAAGAGGGGTATTTTTGTAATTTGACCGTACCTCAGGGGGTGTTTGTGATTTACCCATTTTTTATGCTTGAATTATGTGAAATTCTTGAAATTCACCGGAGCACACTAATTGACTTGAGCGTTAGAGGGGCTTCCGCTGGATCAATCTCCAGACTTAATACACGAGTATTCATCTCGTTGCCTTACGATTCTAGTAAGAACTTTTTGGTACTTCGTCTTTGGAACGAATAATCTTTTTGGTACTTCGTATCTCCAATCGATGTACGGTTAGGATTTCAGATAGAGGCAACTCTCCACGTGCATGAATTAGTATTATTATAATATAGGGTTAATATTGGAGACACCCCTCAAACCAAACCTAATTAGATGTGGGGCAAAACCTCAAATAAAACATTTTAATTAAATCCTTACGTGAAAATAAAATTTGACTCTCATCCTTTTATTTTTATTTAACCCAAAAATACCCTTATACCTAATAAAAAACAAACCCTTATTTTTTCCGTCATTTTCTATTTCTCTCTCTCTCTAAACTGCCGCCCACCATCAACTTCTCTCTCTTTCTTTCAATTTTTTTTCATCCCACCATGGCCTCTTCTTTGTTTCATCGGCCCCACACCCCCTCTCTCTCTCTCTCTCTCTGGAGTAGTGGTCCTGACTTGGAGGTACTCGTTATAGGAGAAGTTATTCAGATCGGATCTCGATGTGGGGCGGCGGACGGCGGCAGTTTTTAGTCGCGGGTAGCGGCGGTGATTGTGGTCGTTAGAGGCGGAGGCGGTTTTGGACGCTTACGTCGGTGGTGATTTTCTTCAACGCCGACGAATTTTTTTTATTTTTTTTTTTGTTTTGGGACTTTTAAATGTAGCTTAATCATTTCTTGATTTCAAGATTGTTTTTCTCCACATTAGTCAGTTTGTGTAGGTCAGAATTAGATTTTTTAGTGTATTCTTTAATACTCCAACGTAGTCGTAATTTGATATTGTGTTTGGAGGAGAGGAAGGCTAATTATAATGAAAAGTGAGACATAGAAGAAGAGACAAAATGTTCGATGATTATGGGCAGATTTCGGAGATCCATTTTCATAGGTGGAGGTTGTGGCGGATCTAGGGTTTCATATTGGATGAGTGCGTATGACTACTAATGTCTATGGATTACTATGAGTGTCTACGAATGGGTAGCGGTTAGGGTTCAAAATGGGAGCTAGGGTTTTAAGAGTACGTGACTACGGATTACTATGGTTACTACAGGTGTCTATCGATGACTACGGCCGATTTTGTTTAAAAAACATTCATAATTTTCAATATTAGTATACTATAGTACGCCATAGTATACGATAGTACACTACTTTTAAAATCTGCAGTACTATTTAACAAAAACGAAAAATATTCTTTTTCGTAATTTTTAATAAAATGTTAAAAATAAGGAAAAAAACCTAAGTTGCTTATAATAATGTAAAAATGCTAGAGTGAAAAACGAAAAAGAATATGTTAGATGGAATGCATAATAAAAAATGATAAATACAGTTTGAATTTTATTTAATGCAAATTTTAAATTTGTAAGTGGAGGGGCATTTTTGGAATGAATTTAATAAATGATGTGAAGCAAAGATTTAATTGGACTTGTCATTTAGTTCTAATTAATTTTGTCACGGGGGACCTATATCTTAAGGCCCCTATAATATAATTTAGTTAGAATTATTTGCTTTGCTTGTTCCAATAAAATTCAAGTTATTTAATTAGATAGACATTAATTTTTATTACTAGAAAATTATATTTTGAATAAGCCTTACATTCTCGTAAAAAAATTATATCCGAAGTAAGTGACACAATATCGAATTTGACTATACATAAATGTATCTATATATCCATATTAAACAGAATGTCACTTTTTTTGTTAAGGCTTTTTCTCGTGTTGAATTGGAGTTGTTCGTACGTCGATTTGTGGACCTATATATAATTTCTATTTTGTCAAAATATGACCGACGTGATTAATGGTTTGAAATGATAATTCATGAATTATTTTTTAAATAAAATATATATATATATATATTAAACAATAATAATCTTTACATCCACATAATATGGATGTGAGTGTGACATTTTTTTTTTTTTTTGAGTAAATTCAAGTCCATTACAAGGGGAAGTAGGGGAGGGGGGACTCGAACCCTAGACCATAATAATAATAATAATAATAATAATAATAATAATTAGCGCGATAAATTATAATAGTAAACTGACTTCGATTTAAATATATTATTTAATATTTATTGAAAATACCACAATCACATATTTACAGGCTTTCACTCTTGAGATTATGATTATTTAGACACGTAAATAAGACAATATGGAGTTAGACACTTAATTAAATTAATTAGTTCAAAATTGACCCAAGTGGACTAAAATTATTTAAAATTTGGGCTGTATGAATATTTATTCAAAGTATAATTCAAGATTATTTATTATTAATGTTAGGCCAAGGCCCATCACTACCACAAAATTCTCCTCCTTAAATCTCCCTAAAATTCCGAAATCGGAAACCCCAATTGCAATTGCAGACTCCGGTGGTGGAGATCGACGACAATTGGCGATGATGACGACGACGACCGGCAACGAATTTTAGATTTTAAGGCACTATTATTTAATGATTGAATTTATAATTTTCTAGAAAATTAAATCCAACATGCCTCCATCGATTATAATTTTATCAAAAAAAAATATATATATATCTTATATATAAAAGAAAGAAACGCTGGACAACCCTAAAAAACCCTAATGGTATTTATGTAATTATTTATTTTTAATATTTTTTCTCTACTAATTTTTTAACTATAATTTTCAACAATTATTAATCTCCTATTTTTCATCAACATATCTCAAATCTTAAGAGATAAAACTAGAAATTCGATTTGTTAAATCTTAGTCTATTTATTTGGATTATAAATCTTAAAATGTAAGATTTAAAAAAACTAATGTTATATAAAATATGAATAGTGCTACATTATTAAATTTTACAATATTAGTGTACTATATTTTCTTATTATGTATTAAATTGACTATTTTTTTTCACTATTTAAATAATATACCGTGCATCGGGGGATGCTAGTAAATTTAATTGTAGGATAAAGAAGATGAGATGGATTTATCAATCTCAATCTAATTCTAATACGGAAGTTATAGAAGAAAACAAAAAGGGAAAAGTTAAAAGTCAAGAATCGTGTATGATATGTTGGAACTTCAGCTCCACTTTGACGATAAATTACAGAATTATGGAGTTGAGGCTCGGACTTCATTTGCTCTCTATTTTATCGTTGACAATCAGTTGCTGTAAAAATTCGATTTTATCAAAATAGGCAAGGTGATGCGGGAACTAGATCGTTTCTCTTAAGACGAATTTCACGCCCCTCTTTTCAAATGAGGTGAGGAAAGATTCCAATCGTTTTGCCTATAGAATACAACAACCCAACCTATCTCTATATTGTATAAGTTTCACTGAAACTGCATGTTCAAGTAAAGCAAAAACTTACGCACAATACACAACAACAAGAGCTCAAAATATACGTATATAAAAATATATTCTTTTTCTCTTCTTTCATACATCTTACAAAATCACAAAGTCCCATTTTATAGTATAAAATATAATCACGATTAGAATTCTATTTCAAAATAGTAGTCTAAATGACGTTATAAAAATGGTCAAAGACTTTTATGTATATGATATTTCATAATTAAAAAATTTGTTTTTTCAAAATACTCCAACAATATATAATAACGATGGTTTATTTGATGTTACATTTGATGTATTTCACCCTCCACGTGATTCACATAACTATGAATTTTACAAATATATATTTTTGGTGGATTTATATAATGATGGTTTCTCAATTATATTTATAAAAATTGACACAATTGCATATTTATTTAATTATTAATTTAATTTGGAATTTAATGGGATTAATAATAAATAATAGATGAAAGAAGCTAATGGAACGTGTAACATGAAACAAAATGCATCACATGCAAATGGTTGGTTGGTTGATTAAAACCCATACGTGACGTGACGACAACTTAATTTCGTCTTCTCTCACAAACACTGAAAATGACACCTTTTGCTAAGTGGTCCCAACTTCACATAGTCGGTCTCCAATTTTGACTTTTTCCTTTTTTCTCTTTCTAAATTTCTACCACTACTTTTACCCAATTTATATATATGGACAAACTACGACCCCCGAGTTAAGTTTAAATTACGAATTTTTTTTTTTCTGTTTGGGTAATTACAGCGACCCCCTTTAGCTATATATCATCGTACACAAATATTCCCTCCAGAGATAAATTTAGGGATATTAAATCGGTAAAACTCAACTGAAATTGTGGTACGCCAACATTTCATACCGTTTACCGAACTGAATATACGATTTGGTTCGGTAAATAACCAAATTACATAAAATTTTATGTAAAAATAATTAAAAGAAGGGGGTGGCTCTAATTACCCAAACAAAATGATTTTTTTTTCCCGTAGTTTGACCATACCTTAGGGGTGGCCATAATTTGCCTTTTACATCTATATAATTTTGAATTTCTAATTTAATTGCAATTTTCAAAATTTCTGAATTCCAAAATTTTCATTTGTTTTACATAATTGGGATTAGTTTTCACCTTCCAAGAAAAATGAAATTCTTTTTTCGAAAGCGTGTCAAATTTGATCAAAGTCTCGAGACAATTAGAGTAGCAAAAATCACGTACACCTTGTAAAAACGAGTTAGATGAATTATTTATAATTAAATTAGTAGCCTTCTTATTTTATGGTGTGAGATTTTCACTTTCAAGGTCTCCTTCTAAATCCAACTCTTTTGTTTATCGGAGAGTACGTCCGGTGCTGGTATTTGGCAGGCGAAGACGAACTAGTCGATCGAAAAAAGATAAAAATAAGAGAGAAAGAGAGAATTCAGGAAATGAACGGTTGATGTTAAATCGTTGCGATTATGCAATGTTGTTAGAACCGGACCGAACCGGCCGGTCGAACCGGTTCGACCGTGACCCGGCAATAAAGCGGTCCGGTCTAACATCTAAAACCGGAAAAATCAAAAATCGGGGTCAAATGACCAAAATTCGGTTCGATCGGGTAAAAATCGAGAACCGCCGAGTCAGTCAAGGCGGTTTTCGGCCAAAACGTCTCGAATCACCGTTGAGTTGGTTATTTGTGGCTAGATTTGAGCGAACCTTCATATACTTAGTAGTGGGTGGCCGGATCTAATCATGAGTGGTCGAATGATTGTCGGATATGATCATAGATGATCGAATAGGGGTGACTGATTGCCGGATTTGAAGAGTAAAAAATGGAAAAAATAGAATATAAGCAATAAAATATAGGCAAAAGTGAGGTGAAGTAGATAAAAGTGAAAATAATAACTCGGAGATTAAAAATATAAAGAAAATAATATTTTTAAAACATTAAAATTAATAAAATAACGGCATATTAAAAAAAATCAAAAACCCGGTTGAACCAGTTCGACCCTATAAACCCATGACCCAAATATCGTCCGGTTCTATAGCCGGTCCGGTTCTGATAACATTGCGATTATGTCTCTAATAGGGCTTGCTACATTCGCTTAATATAAAGAATTGTGTATGGCTATTTTCTATCTCAGAATTTCTTTATTTGTCGAGATTTACATTGATTTCTTAATTACTAGTTCCAATTTACATACTCCTTATCTATTTGGGTAAAATATCTTCAAATCTTCTTCTTCCACCTACTCTACCTATCCTCTCCATCGCCTCTTGCATGTTCACATGAGATCGGCGAGTTCGCTACCCTCATATTCCAGGGGTATCGTTTAACGAGCTCAGCTCTAACGAACTTTTTTCGGACAAACTTCTAAAGAGACTTCAGTTTTTCCGTATATTAGATTGGTGGGTCGAATAAATCTCTTTCAGGGTTTTGTCCTTATACTATATAATAAGTCCAATATAATTGGTTTGGCCAAACTTTACCAACACGGACCCCATAACTATTATTACACAATAATGTTAATTTCAAATTTCAATTAACCACTCATCACATATTCACATGTGTAATATAATTTTATTATATAAAATTCGAACAAGTGTAACATCTAACACCTCATCACATTCTATGACGATTTACCAACTTAACCAAATGATATATTAATCATAAATATTGTAATAAAATACTTCCCCATTTAATTTTTAATCAAAGTTCATATATAGTTTAAATAAAAAATATCAAATCCATGTTATAGTTAGTAAAAAATATACACAAAATATGGCAACTATTTATCTACACAACATCAATACAAGAATTATACGGACACGGTTATTGAGACGCTACACCTAGTGAAAACACATCAGATAATTATTAACTTTTAACATGGTAAAATAACTTTCCACTAGTATATCTAATTATATGCAAATCAACGATCAATAATCACCCGATGTATTACCGGGACTGTAATACAAGTGGACTGCGCTGCGGGATCTATTCGTTAAAAATATAATAAAAATGAAATAAATAAAAATAGAATAAATAAAATAAAATAAAAAATAAAGTATGTGACCTAACAAAACTTTATTTCATGTGACATATGAGTTGGCTCCCACAGTCTATAAATAAAAGCGGAACTCCTCCGCCATTGCCTCAAACTCCCCTCCGAAACAGGATTCCTTCTTTTTTTCTCTCTTCCACTTTCTCTCTCTAGAAACCAGTTATCCCTCTTTAATTTCTACCCTGTTTTTTTGGGGAAAACAATTCCCGATTATTTCCTTCTTCATCAGTAGAAATTAACGGGGGATTTTATTGCTGAATTATTCAGGAATTTTTAGCAATTTTTTAATTTAGTTTTAATTCCCCAAAAAATTGGAATCGTGATTTCGCTCGGTTTGGTATTTATCTCTCTGTTTCGATTTAGGGTTTCATTTGATCGATCTGAAGGTGGGGTAGGTTTTGGGTAGATACGCATGAGCCGTTTGGTAAAGCTGGGTATTTCGTCTTCGAATTCTAACTATTTCACCTATTCCATTCTCCAATTTACGGAAACCAATACCTTTTTGTTGTTCCTCTTGTTATTGAGATTATCTAAGCTTTTATCGAGGTTAAGATCGGTTGATTCGTCGAGTAATTTTAGTTTTAGTAGTAATTGTTTCTGTATTGCCGATTGCCGCTGCCGATCTTCACTGAGATATGGATTCCACGGACAGCAAGAGTAATACCCAGCTGCAAACTGGTGTGTGCCCTAATTAATCTTTCGTTTTTCGTGCTTTTTGAGCTGCCTTGTTTGTTTGATCTTTCCCTTTGGTTGATCACTGCTGTAGTATTTTTTTTTGTTTGTTCATCTTTGTATATGCTGATGGGGTTGAATTATTACGAATGCAGTTAAATCGGTTAGCTGCGGGTTCTTATGTTTAGCAAATGATAAAGTTAGCTAAACTTGTATCGTAAACAAGCGAACAACTTGTTTGTAGTAGACAAGTCATGGTTATATTCTGAGGAAGTTTTGTTTTTTTTGTAGCTGTTCGTTATTCGACCTTGGAGAGGAGATCGCCTGCCTCACCGTCGGTTATCGTCATAGGTGCTGGTTTTGCTGGCATTGCAGCTGCGAGAGCTCTACATGATGCCTCGTTTCAGGTCAATATTTAGATGTAAAATTATCGTTTATGACAATATGTATGATTAAGAAAAATAGTCCTGAAGAAACTATGTATTTTTTTTGGCAGGTTATCTTATTGGAATCACGGGATAGAATTGGTGGACGAGTACATACTAATTATTCATTTGGTTTCCCTGTTGATTTGGGTGCATCGTGGTAAGTTATATTTGCTCTGCGTAGAAATATACACTGTCGGAGTCGTAATATGCTATTTTGGTAGTCCAGTTACTCATCAACTGCATTATCTTGATAATATTATGCTAATTATTCTCGTATATTGCTTGACAGGTTACATGGTGTTTCCAAGGAGAACCCATTGGCTTCAATTATTGGAAGACTGGGACTACCACTTTATCGGACTAGTGGAGACAACTCAGTTCTGTATGACCACGATTTAGAAAGGTTCTTCTTTTTGCCCTTTTAACTTCTCGGGTGCTCACTCTCAAGAGGATATGTTCGTTCTTGTATTGGATTTCTTGAATCTGGGAATAAACAATACTATCCTCACGATTTAAGTGCTTAGTTCATTCACTTCTCAAAATTTGTCACTCGATTCAGTAAAATCCTAGCTAGATTCCACTGGTATTACATATATTTTGTGCTTTTATATATTTTGCTTTACTATGAAGACATTCAAATTTCTTGGCTCTGAAAGAATTGATTTTTATGTTTTCATCAACTGTATTGCAGCTATTAATGGTGACTAATATATATTTTTTCCTTTCAGTTATGCCCTTTTTGATATGGAGGGAAATCAAGTTCCTCAAGATTTAGTCTCAAAGGTTGGCGTAACATTTGAGAGCATCTTGAAAGAGGTATTCCAATTATGTTAGAAAAAGATTGTAGTGTTAATTGATTTGTCTTGTGATTGATCTTTTCTGCATTTCCCTAGTACTTGGTTATATTTACTATCTCTCCTTTGGCTTACAATATTGTCTGCAGACTGATCTTGTTAGACAAGAATCGAGCGAGGACATGTCCATACAACGTGCCATTTCAACTGTTTTTGAGAGAAGACCAGATTTAAGGTTTTACCTGCACATTTTTTTCTCTAACAGTATCAGATCTATCAAACCTATCTAAATTCTAAACATTAACTGAGATGACTTTAACCCATTTTGTAGGTTGGAGGGGCTTGAGCATAAAGTGTTGCAGTGGTACCTATGCAGAATGGAAGGTTGGTTTGCTGCAGATGCTGATACGATATCACTCAAAGGCTGGGACCAGGTTACTCCCTCTTGTTAAGATTTTACGAAATCTTTTATTAACCTTTTACAAATAGTGAAATTGTGTTCTAAATTGGTTAACATTTCTTATATTTTCTTTATAGGAAGAGTTGCTTCCCGGTGGGCATGGGCTCATGGTCCGAGGATACCTTCCTGTCATTAATACTCTTGCGAAAGGCCTCGACATTCGCTTGGGCCAAAGGTTAGTTAGAATTTAGTTAGTTATTCCCTCCGGGTTAATTCTTTCTTGGTCTTGTTTGGGAATAAGGATAGGACTTGATAGGTAGTATAATAAAAAAAAATGGGTCGAATGTTTGGGATTTAGGTTTCAAGCCCATCATAAAAGAACGACACGATGTATAATCACAAATGATAAAACGAGACAGTGTAATCACAACCAATTCAATCTGTCTTATCAATCCCATCAACACTCCCAAACGAGGCCCTAATATACAATTCAATTCTGACCTTGCTTTCTTGCTTTACTTTCAGAGTGACAAAAGTAGTTAGGCGATATAATGGCGTAAAGGTAATTGTAGAAGACGGAAGAACATTTATAGCAGATGCTGCTGTTATTGCTGTCCCACTCGGTGTACTGAAATCAAACACCATTGAATTTGAGCCACGACTGCCCGAGTGGAAAGAAGAAGCAATCAACGACCTTGGAGTTGGGATTGAGAACAAGATAATTTTGCACTTCGACAACGTTTTCTGGCCTAATGTAGAGTTCTTGGGAGTTGTAGCAGAAACTTCGTACGGGTGCAGCTATTTTCTCAATTTGCACAAGGCCACAAGCCATCAAGTGCTTGTTTACATGCCTTCGGGCCAACTTGCCCGTGATATTGAGAAAATGTCCGACGAGGCTGCTGCTAATTTTGCCTTTATACAACTTAAAAGAATCCTTCCAAATGCCTCTGAGCCGGTAATTTTACTTATTTACTTATCTTTTTAAATATTACAAAGATTTTATGAGTTAATTGCATCTAGTACACACATGTTATATTAAATTGCTAAAAACCCGTGCCATTAATATTAGCAAAACCCCCCCAATGTTGCATTCTTTTGCACACAACCCCACCCCGTTAATGGTTAGTTTTTAGGGGTAGTTTGCCAAAAATAAAATGAATCATAGGGTTTTCTAATCAAATTGCTAAAAAACTTTCAAATTTATTGAATTTAGCAAATACCCCTGATTTCGCATTAGCACACAACCCATGGTGAGTGTTTGGGGTAGTCTGCTAAAAAAAATGAACTATAGGGTGTTTTAAGCGAATTGCTAAAAGACTGATGCAGTTATTGATATTAGCAAAAATCTCCCAGCGGTGCATTTTCTTTTAGCACACAACCCCCTAAATGGTGAGTTTTAAGGGTAGTTTGCTAAAAAGAACCCTGTGGACGTTTATGCTAATACTAATAACTGAGAGTTTTTTTAGCAATTCAGTATAACATAGATACTAAATCCAATAAACCCTAATCGGTTCATAATCTTCTAAAATAAATAAATCATAATTACTCTTTGTGAATGATATATGCAGATCCAATACCTCGTTTCACATTGGGGCTCGGACAAAAACTCGTTGGGTTCTTACAGCTACGACAGAGTTGGAAAATCCCATGATTTGTACGAGAGATTAAGGATTCCAGTGGATAATTTATTTTTTGCCGGGGAAGCTACGAGTATTGATTATCCAGGATCGGTGCATGGTGCATACTCCACTGGATTAATGGCTGCCGAGGATTGTAGAATGCGAGTTTTGGAGCGGTATGGAGAATTGGATCTTTTCCAGCCAGTAATGGGTGAGGATGTTCCGATTTTTGTTCCACCGTTGATTTCTCGTATGTAATTTTCTTATCCGCCGACTATATATTATTACAAACGGGATTTTAGTGATTTGATGATAAAATGGTGTTGTACTTAACTGGTTGCTTTGTGAGAAATTGTGGAAATCAAAAGATTTCTCGATTGGATGATCTCAGAGCATCGGTTTTTATGTAATCATCTCCGGTTTGCTGTGTCGTGAAGAAAATAAACGCTCTTTTTTTGGCTTTTGTTGCTTAAATGAGAGTGTAATGTATTCTTGGGAAGAACTGCCTATTTGTGTGCCTGTTAAATGTATTTGTTGGACCCTTTTGGTTGATTATTTTCTCCTGCAAATTGGTGTTTTATTTATTTATTTTATTGAAATTGATAATTGAAATCTTAACATTCAATATGAAAATTGAAATTTTAACATTCAATATTAGAATCATCTGCGTCGGCATTGCGGAACACAAACCTATCCTTGTTACCACGACTTGAAAACTGGCTCCTAGTTGTTCGAAACAGGACTTTTGAGCCGAAGAAGTTGTTTGCCAATCATGCGATAAAAACGAGTAAAAAAGATTCAATTTCGTTTGTTCAGTGTGTTATGGCCACACCCCATAAGGTAAGGTTAAAGTACGGAAAAATCTCTCTTGTTTGCGTATTTACAAATACCCCCTCAACTATGAATCTTCTTACACGTTTACTCTTGTGGTGTCAAATTTAGTGGAATCTTCTAGATGATATGGAATATTCTCTAGTTTTTACCCGTCCTACCCCATCCGAGCTCCACATTTTGAAACAAGGTGATCATAACACGTGTTTCTTGGTTTGTAAATATTAAATTGTGGTGCGTCTGAAACTGCATAAAACGAGTACAAACTAGAGATTATTCCACGGAATGTAGAAGATGATGTTGAATTTGACACCATAAGGATGAACATGTAAGAAGATTCATAGTTGAGGGGTAATTGTAATTACCCAAACAGAAGGGGGTTTTCCGTAATTTAACCTTACTTCAGGGGTGACCGTATTTTACTACCACATGCACAACTTATTTGACCCTTAAATCATTTCCCACATCAACATCAAATGAAATTATTTGATAATTAAACCAGTCATTAAAACTACATAATTGGCCTTTTCTGCAGCCATTGATTAAATCTAAAACAATCTTCAAATTAAAAAAAATAAAAAATAAATAATAATAATTCTAGTTTTCTCCCCTACCTATTTGTCTCTATCTTCTAGAGAAACACTTAGTAAAACTAAGGCAGAGTAAGGCCAAATGTAACTTCAACTTCCCTAAAATGTATCCATATTCTCAAATTCTTCATAAAAAACAACTTTATTATTACTTCATAAACAATTATATTATCATTATCAACGTACGCCTGTAACCGATATTTTGATTCCATGTCTTGTTCAACGAGATTATCGATTTTCCACCGCCTACAAAAACTACGGCAACAATCGAGAAAGCGAAGCAAAAAACGAGAGAAAGGCTAAATAATCTTCAAGACAATGACAGCATCCTTAGTTGCATTAATTCTACTTTTGTTTACTGCATTTGCATCCGGTGGAAGAACAAAGCTCGATTGGCGCACGGAGTACAGCGATTCTTCCGATGGTATCTGTAATTTAATGGTGGTGACACAAGGCTATACGTGTGAAGAGCATCGAGTATATATACGAACACGATTTCGAGATTAATATATCGTTTTTTTTTCTTTCCTTTGTTTTTTTCGGAGTTTATTTGATGTAAAAAGTATGTATTTAATAATCAGGTGACTACAAAAGACGGTTATATTCTGAGCATGCAGAGGATCCCGACCGGACGAACCGGCGGCGGAAATAACGGCGGAGCTAAGCCGCCGGTTCTTCTCCAGCACGGACTCATGAGTGTAACTACTCACAACCTCGGCTTTTTTTTTTTTTTTTCCAAATTAAGATTTTTTTTTACATTACAGTAGAACCTCGATAAATTAATACTCGATAACGTGTTAAATTATTAACTCGATAATTTAATAAATTCGCTAAATTAATATAATTTCCCTGATCTAAACTCTATTAATTTATAGAGGTTTAACTGTATTTAATAAAAAAATACTAATGATCAGGATGCGATGACATGGCTATCGAATTCGCCCGCCGAGTCATTGGGATTTATATTAGCAGACAACGGGTTCGACGTTTGGTTGGCTAGTGTGCGCGGGACCACTTACAGCACCGGACACACGTCTCTCACTCCTGACGATCCGGTAATAAATAATAATAATATATATTTTTTATGTTTAGTTTGGTACGTCGAATCGAGTTTCTTACGACATAGTTTCGTAAATTTCGGACAACAGGAATACTGGAATTGGTCGTGGGATGAATTAGTAGCATATGATCTTCCATCTACATTCCAATATGTTTATAACCAAACAGGGCACAAGTTGCACTATGTTGGCCATTCCTTGGTAAAAAATTAAATCACATAAATACTATAAATTATATTCCCTAAAATGAATTTATAATTGTGAATTTAAAAAAAAAACGAAAAAAATAGGGTACGTTGATGGCGTTCGGTGCATTTTCAAGAAACGAGGTGTCGGATATCGTAAGATCAGCTGCTCTACTTAGCCCCATAGCTTACATGGGACAAATGCCGTCTCCACTAGCCCGAGCTGCTGCCGATTCATTCATAGCCGAAGTAAATATCTCGATTTTTTTTTTTGCTATTCGAAAATCGAAAGATCTTCAAGTAATTCGACATTAGTTCTTAAGTCGAAAAAACTTACGTGTGGTAATGAATTATATTAACAGGACTTGTACTGGTTGGGACTGAACGAGTTCGACCCCGGAGGGTAAGAATTACGAATCTCCGTATATACAGCGTAGGGCTACGGGGGGCCATGGCCCCCTCCATCGAAAAAACACGATTAACGGATATTTGTTGACTTTTTAACAGGGGAGCTGCTTCCAAACTTGTGGCTGAAGTCTGCACCAAAATCAACTGTACCGACTTGGAGAGTGTTATTACCGGTATTTTCTCGCGTTTTTATTTTATTTTTAAATATGTTCGTCGTAATTATAAAATACCCGAAATTTCATTTTTACTATATATAGATAAACCTCTATAAATTAATACATTCGGGATCCGGGAAATTCTATTAATCTATTAATTAATCGAGGTTATTAATTTATCGAGTATTAATTTATCGAGTTTCTACTGTAATATAGGTCCAAATTGTTGCATGAACACATCAAAGTCGAATCTTGACCACCAACAACCAACTGCCACAAAGAACATGGTCCATCTTGCACAAAGTAAGTCTCGATTTTTTTTTTTTTTTTTTTTACAAAAAGGCGAAAATTTCAATCGATTTAAAAAGACGAGAAAGAAAATAAATGACAGTGATCAGACGAGGGACGATAGCGATGTACGACTACGACGACGAAGGCGAGAACAAAAAACACTACGGGCAATCGAGTCCTCCGGAGTACAACATTACGAGCATACCGAACAACCTCCCGATTTTCCTTGGCTACGGTGGGAAAGATTTGCTGTCGGATGTAAACGACGTGCAAACGTTGATCGATACATTATCGGACCACGATCCCGATAAGATCGTGTTGCAGTATACGGAAGAATATGCTCATTTGGACTTTGTTTATGGGATTAATGCTAAGGAAGTTGTCTACAATCCTCTCATTGCCTTTTTCAACCTTAATTAAAAACAATTATCCCTTTTTTTTTTTTAATTTAAAAAAAAATCAAATTGGATTATTTCATGTATGATATTATGTAAATATTGTAATTGCAAAGTATTTTGTTTTTGGTATATTATTGTTCGGACTTTGTTAAATGACCACTTCATCTGAAGACTTAAATTTCGAACATATTCATGTACCGATAAATTAATTACATTTTTGATACCTTTCACAAAATAATTAGTAAAACAAAATTATTTTAGTTTACGGGAAGTCGAATGGTTCGTCTATTATCAGCCGTTTATGATTCAAATAGCTTCGTTGCCATTGGCCGGTGGTGCCGATACTTGATTCTGTTGTGCCGAATGGAAACCGAAGTTGAACATGTTCATCGGCTGCAAAATGCAGTAGCAAAACGATTAGCCCGAATATATTACATATATATATAATCATAGTACTTTTATGCACTACTGCCTCGTTTGGTTCCTAAGATAAGACAAAATTGATTAATTAATGAAAATTATCCGGTTTACCAAACATCAACCAGAGTCCAATTATTTAAGTAATCATGGCTAATCTGTGCGACAAGTTACAAACCTGTGACGCATTAGGTGTCGAATGAAAGCCCATGTAATTAGCATATTGCTCGTGAAAACCCGAATTCTGCATATGATTCGGGTAATTAACCGGGCCCACGACGTGACTGGGTCCCATCGGGCCTTGATTTTGGTTCGAGGCAATATTCATTGCTTGATGAACGAGGGGCGATCTCGATAGACGCACCAGATTTTGAACCGCCACATGAGCTGGATACATTTGCGGGCCCACTCCCATCCCGGCCCGCGACATGTACTGCTGCAGGCCCGGAAGCATCATCTGCCCCATTCCACTCCCCATCCACATCAACTGATATATGCATATACATATATGTATGTATACACGTAATTTATTGAAACACCAAAAAAAAGGTGACACGTAATATGAGAAAATATACATAGCCAATGCGACAGTTAATATGAAACGGAGGTAGTTATTATATATTACCTGAAGTTGTAATTGCAAGGACTTCATGTACTCAATTGCCTCGTCGAGCATAGATGCTTTATCCGACTTAAAACCGAAAAAACTCGAGTTAAAAAAAAATAATAATAAAAAATAAAAAAATTAAACACGAGTTGTTATTACGAACGAAATACGTAGTTTTACAAAAATGTTCTCAAGGACTAGCAATTTTGAGCAAATAATTCAAGGGTAAATTACAAGTAAACCGCCCTTGAGATATGCCTAAATTACGAAAATGCCCTTAATCGAGGTTTCAATCGAGACAGAGAAAACACAACTTGTTAAAAAAAAAACACGGCTTGTTATTACGAACGAAATACGCAGTTTTACAAAAATGTTCTCTAAGACTAGCAATTTTGTGCAAATAATTCAAGGGTAAATTACGAGTAAACCGCCCCTGAGATATGCCTAAATTACGAAAATACCCTTAATCGAGGGTTCAATCGAGACAAAGAAGTTTCACCTTGTTAGAGTGAGGGATAAGCTCCTGCAATGCCTTCATCTTCTCGTTAATCCTGTCCCGTCGTCTCTGCGATAAAAAAACGCAGAATAACTAAACGATCAATACCAAAATTTAAAAAAAAAATCGAACTATGATGCGGAATTTAAAAAAAAAAAATCGTAGTATCTAACCCTTTCGGACAAGTTATGCACTTCAGCTACACGAGTCCTACGATTCGTTCGAGACTTATTTCCCGAACCCGACTCCAATTCAGTTGCCTGCACAAAATAAAGACTCCCCAAACTCAAAAAATCATATCTTTTTATGTCCGGAAAAAAAAAACGAAAAAAAATTAAAAAATAAGCATACATCACTTCGACACTCCGATTCTTCGACATCCCTACTCTTCCTTTTATGACCATTAGTAGTATCGTTCGAACACGGACTGCTCGTCTTCCAAAAACTACTATTACCAGATCCACCCGAGCAAGAAGCGATCGCTTGTCCGATCGTCTCTCTCTCCATACTCTCGCTGCTTTTTACTTTATCCACTACCTGATTACTCGCACAGTGGCTCGATCCGAAAGTCCTTCCGGAACATTCCGGGACCCCACCGTTTTCCGCCCGTCTTTTTTGTACATGCATCTCCTGATTATTACAATTACTATTATTATTACTATTACTATTATTAAATGACTCGAATCTTGGCGGCGGTGAAAACAGCACGTTTTCGCACTGGAGAGGAATTCCGTCGGACAAAAAATTGGCGCAGAACTCCTTCTCGAAAGATTCGTCGATCGGGCAATCGATCCACGACGACGTCTCGTCGTCTTGGATGAAAGTGTTGGATATTTCGGTGGCGCCACTTGTCGATACTCGGTTATTCGTATTGTGGGATTGCTTCGATTTATACGAGGGATCGTCGTTGATTATTTTCCTGTGGTTTGTTTGGCTGTGCAGAACTAGCTCCCCATTTTGCCATAAGAGCTCCATTAGATCACTGTCTATTCTGTAGTATGTATGCATGACAAATAAAAAATTAATCTTTATTTATTTATTAATGAAATTAATTTTTTATTTGAATAAAATTGTAAGAATTTTAATTTGAAGAAAACTTACCCTAGAGATTTTCTTTGAATGGAGGTTGGGAATTCAACTCCAACTTCAGTATTCCAATCAGGAATAAGGCAAGACTCCATACCTTAATTTCTGCTAAAAAAAAAATAGATTTTTTCATTAATCATTGCCAAACTAATTTAATGTTTTTTATACTAAATTACCACTAATAGTTTAACTATGGATCAATCAATCATTCAATCAATCAATCAATTTCTCTCTCTCTCTCTAAGAGACGCAAAATGGATCAATAATTGCAAAATGTGACATCAATTGCAAAATTGAATCATCAAATATAAGTGCAAAATTCAAACAAAAAATCCCACCATAAAGAAATCAATCCCTTCAAATTATACATTCATTCACCCAAAAAAAAAATTCATAAATAAATATCTCATTTTAGCACTATATATACATATATATATATAAAAAAAAAAAAAAAAAACTGACCTCAGAAAACACTGCAGAAAGAAACTGAACAAGCAATTATTTATGTATACATACATATATATATATATATATATATATATATATATATATATATATATATTCAGTCAATATTGATTCATGAAAGAAAGCAGAAGCATCAAAAGAAATAGACATGCACAGAGAGACAAAGAGTGGGTGTTGGGTGATTGCATACAGTTGGTAGTTCCCTACAGTTCTATCAAGTTAAACAGCGGTGGTCAGCATAAGATCCCCCACGTGTCGGTAGATTAGTGGTGGGATTGGATTGCTTGGGGCCCACATGCTTCGAATCGGACAGCTGTATAGAAAATCTATATCTTCTCCCTCGGTAAAGCCGTATACAATGACCCGACCCACCCAACTTGCCACGTTGCTTGTTTCCCTTTCCCTTATTGCTTAATTCACAGAATCGCTGTAAAGGTGGGCCCTCTTTTTTTTTTTTTTTTTTTATTATTATTCTATTCTTCACCTTATCTCTTTCTATTTTTTTTTTTTTTTTTTTTATTTTAAATAAATAAAATTAATATTTATAAGGGATCAGATTAGAGGTATCAACAATCGAGCTTGCCTGTTTTGGCAGGCTCGAGCTCGTCGTGTTTCTTTTTTCTTTTTAGCTTTAGCTCGAGCTCGACAAAATAGACTCGAGCTCGAGCTTGAGCCCAAACTCGTTTTGGGATTTTTTTGTTTTTTTAATTATAATTATTATTAATAATTATTTAGATTATAATAAAAAAAAATTAGAAAATAAAACAATAAAATGTAATCATAAATATATATATATATATATATATATATATATATATATATATATATATATATATTTTTAATATTTATATCTTCTTTTTATATTAGTTCTATAATATTTAAATAAAAATAATATATTAAAAATATAATAATAAGCCTCGCCAACCGAGTCGTGAGCACACAAACAATTAAAAAAAGCTCGAGTTCGACTCGTCAGAAAACTCAAGCTCGAAAAATTCGAGTTCGAACCAGCTCATCGAACTCACAAATCGGCTTATCTTGTTTACCAACCCTAGATTAGACATGTCTACGGTCACTGTCCGATTCGAACTTGACAGTATGTGGTCAATGAATTGATTAATTAGGCCAATGACTCGGAACCGTGATCGTTCCCTTCCACATTAACAAGAGCGGATTAAGAATTGGATATGTTGTGAATCGACAATTAAAGGACGGTCTAGCGAACTCACTTGGTACCAGGCGAGTTCAAACAATTTTTTTTTTCCGCAGAATTTAAAGGAAAAAAGATAGAAAAACTAAATGAGCTTGCCGTGTAGACCGAGTACACTACACTATACTCGCTCGGTACAAGGCAAGTTCATCTCGTTTCCAAAATTTTAACTTTTGTTTGAGAATCGTAACCTATGCAATATAATGAACGTTAAAATAATTTAATTTACATAAGATCTGTCGACGTACGTGTCTGGTAAAAGTGAGTGTATATCAAAATTCGTATCTACTTGCTAACGGTCGCTATGTGGAACTTGTTACACGTGGTTAGTCTAGTGTAATTTATGTCTCTTGTATGATTTGCAAACTATTATACGAGTGTGTAGAATTATCCAGTATACTTATACAGTGGACTGCATGTTCTTTCATTAAAAAAAAAAAAATTAATAAAGTATTGGGATCAATCAAAATCATTGGCTAATAGTTAAAAAAATTATATTAATAATCAAGTGCAACCATGTAAATTGGCATTCAAACTATTAAATCGGAGTAATTATATCCAATGCAACATCATACCCCTTTCCAAAAGAAAAGGTCCCATTTGATTTGACACAAAATTATTATTTATAAATAATAATTTAAAATCTAACTACTTTTTCTATATTCATTGCTATCTTTACATCTATTATTGGAAGCAAGTGGTTGGTTGGATAGATTATTTCAATTGATATGTAAGCTTGTAGAAAAAATCTAGGTACTTTCTAGAAAAAATGAAATTAAATAATTAAAGTATAAATATCTATAATTAACAAATATTTTAGTTAATTTTTTTAATCAAAAAAAATTGTAAAAAAGTTAAATAAGATAAAAAAAAAAAAAACTTTAAACATTATGTGCTATTATAAATTTGTGGGTTAAAGTAAAAAAATTAGTTGCAAATTCAATAAAATTCTCTAATATATAGAAGTTTTTTCGTAATTTGATCTGGACCGTAATTTACCTAGTTCTTATTTATAATAACAATAGTGAAAAAATAAGTTATAGTAGCCGCTCATTTTATTTATTTTATATTTTTGTAATTTTTATTTAAGCCGTTCATTGGGACTTGATAGAATGTTCCAACTGCACATTCTTTACCACTTGTTTTTTGTAAAGATTCTGAAAATCATAGATGCAGCACCAATTACCAAACCACTTTTATTTATTTATTTATTTATTATTGGATAATATTATTCTTGATAATGACTCATTCTCTGTTTTTCATCTTCTATCTTTTTCTCTTAAATTAAATATTAAAAATAGTGTTTGCAATCAAGAAAAATATAACTTTAGAAACTACTATTTTACGAAATATTAATTTATATTAATATAAAATGAATCATTTATTTTGTGGATACGACTTGAATTGAAAAATTTGTTGAAATAATAATATTATGTCATCTACATATATTGTCTCTATAAAAAAATTTAATTATATTTTTTATGACCTCATTTTAATATTTAAAAAAACTAATTCAATTATGTATGTTTTTCTTTACTAATTTTTTTATAGTTTATCACAAAAAAATATAAAAATATTTACATTCAATAAATAAAAGATTTCGTTAAAGTTAACTAAATTATATACCAAAGGACTATATGAGGGACTAAGTGAAACTAAAAATTAAAATGAGGAACTATTAGCGAGATTTGACCGATTAATTATATATTTAATGATTTTCTTTATATATATATATATAACAAAAAGAAATAAAGAAATTAAAAAACCAGCACGTTTAACCACAAAAATATTATTGAAATAATCAAGATTCACACTATACAGTATACTAACATATACCTTAGTTGTATATAATTCATACTATAATATAAGGCTTGTATAAACTTTATAACTTCTCAACTGGAAAACCAACGACTGGTTTTACTTGTGATGCCATTGATCTCAGCTCTTCGACTTCGTCGTTGCTAAGTGTCCATCCCACCGCACCGGCGAATTCTTGTGCTTGTTCCGCATTGCGGGCCCCCGGGATCGGGACCACGTTTTCTTGAGCAACGAGCCAGTTTAAGACAACCTGTTCATGTCAAAAAAAAAAAAAATCATTGAATGTTTTAATGTCCAACAATTGGCATTCATGATTAGCATATGGATTCCAATTAAGACAGTTAGGACTTTGTCGTTCGTGTAGGGAGTGACACAACCAGCATAGGGCTAAGGGGGGCCATGGCCCCCCCTCCACTTTGTCGAAAATTTACTGTTTTATACAGAAATTTGCTTGTTTGTTTTTTACTACTAGTGTAGATATTATCACCCCGACTAGAAAAATTTGGCTCCGCCAAGGTACAGATGTAACGAATTCAAATATAGAGTTAATTGCATTAGTACCCCTCTAAAATACTAATTAACACACTACCCCCTAAAATGGTGGGTTATTATAGCGTAGTTTGCTAATAAAATTGAATCATAGTGGGTTTTTGACAATTAGAGTAAATATGGGGGTGGTAAATGCAATAAAACCCTCGAATACAAGGATGAGTTTGCAGAGATATTAGCCAATTAAAAGTATTTCTTGCAATATACAGTGTAAGATACAAATACTATGAAGCAACTTGAATTGAAAAATAAGGTACCATTTTGAAAGAACGAACCTGAGTTGGGGTTTTGCCGTAGCCTTCTCCAATCTCCTTTATCCGGTTTATTAGAGGTTGTAGCTGCCAAAAAGAAAAATTAAAAATAAATAAAATATTAATTCGGTAGTAAACCCTTATTAGAATTAATTCTCTTTTAACTAAAACCACTTACTTTAGTCATGAATTCGGGGGTGTAAATACTTCCTCTAGGACCGGTCGGAGTGTTATTTGGAGTGTATTTCCCCGTAAGTGCACCTGAATAATACCAGAATTAATCTAAATTATCTCGAGTATATTAATTAAACATTTTTTAAGTGAAATAAAAATATAAAAAAAAACGGCTAGGCTTTTCACCTTGAGCAAGTGGCGAATATGCAATTAAGGTGATACCGAGTTCATCACAGGTCGATTTGACACCGTTTTCCTCGGGGAGTCGATATATCAGACTGTAGTTTACTTGGTTTGAAGCCAAAGGTATACCTCTCTTTTTCAATTGATTGTATGCCTCACGAAGACGCTTCTCTAAATAACCATAAATCATTTCAAATTACGAAACTCTATTTTTTTTAATATATTTTAAAATAGAGAATTATTTAGTAAGTGCATATATCTTCTCTTTAAGAAAAATGGCAAGAAATTTTCCGCTGTAGTGTGATACTCCAACAGATTTCTCGAGACCTCGCTCCACAGAATCGGATAGACAGTCGATATATCCTGGAAAAAAAAAAATAATCCCGATTTTTCTATACCCCTCTTTATATATATATATGCGTGTATATATATATATATATATATATATATATATATATATATATATATATATATATATATATATATATATATATATATATATATTTCAAACACGATGAAAATTGAAATACTTATCGACAACCTTCGTTGCCCCATATTCCTGGCCTGAAATATTGACGTAATGACAAATCGATCAATATGAATTTTGGGATTAAAAAATGGTACAAAAAAGAAATATTGATAATCTCACATACCAATGGAGCTGATATAGGTCAACACAAGACAATTCGAGACGAGATAAAGAATCTTTGAGAGCAGAAATAACACTCTCTCGACCGATTCTCCATGGTAAAGCTGCATATTTGGTAGCTACAGCCACCTCAAAATCGGGATCCCTTTCTTTCCTTTCTTTGATGAATCTAATTATTTACGATAGCTTTTAATTAAAATTAAAAAAAAAAAAAGGAAAATTGCGCGTTACGAATATGGTCAATGGTTACCTTCCAAGTAGTGTTTCGGAACTGATAGCACCGAACGACATCTGCAAGAACATGATATGATTTTTTATTTTTTTAAGACAATATGTAATATTGTCGATAAAAATGCATTGAAGCAAAATGAATACTAAAAGAAAAATATTCCTACCCGTGAGCCATAAACCTCTGCAGTATCGAAGAATGTTATACCACCGTCGATGCTGGCATCGAAAGCTGACTTTGCAGCCTTCAATTTCCTGTCTGAAATCGAACATAATTCAAGAAAATCGATTATTTTTATTATTTTTTTTGTTGGCAATCTAATTACACGAATCATGACGGCATTAATCACGGGTGAATTTATATACTAGACAAACTGTAGCAATCTGAACTTTATGAGCTAACATTAATGATTCTTTTAACACTTGATCGGAAAATCGAAAAAAACAAACAAACAAACAAGCCTTGTAATAGCAACATCAATGTGTTTTCATTCCATTACCAGCTCTTCTCTAGCAAATGAAACTATAATTTAATTCAATTACCACACACACACACACACAAATCAAAAATTGAAACACTGAAAAGAAAATTGGAGTGGGGAGAAATGTAATTTACCATCCCAATTGAAATTATTCCAATAGCTTGTGTCGCCCCATGACCAAGCTCCAAGCCCTAGCTTCGTCACCTTCAACTCCGAACCGCCCAATTTCACCTTCCCCTCATCGGTTGTCTTCACGGAAACGCCGCCCTGCTCAGAAGCCACTGCTCTAACTGCACGAACTTTACTCCCGCTAAAAGCAGAGAAGCAAGCGCTGCTCAAATGCAAAGCCATTGATTTTTCCCCCAAATTTACCCGATATTAATTTCTGCAAAAATTCCTGTATATATATATATGGAGGGAAATTGAAGCAACGAGTTCTCGATTCATGTGCGTAAGTGCTGCTGAAATATGGTCCATCCATGGAAGCGAACTGATAATTGATAGTGATGGAGATATGGTTCTGGTTTTGAACACGTATGCTTTGGTTTCTGATTATAGCTAATGGAAGACATTACCTTTTTCAAGCTTTAATTCTAACTTAACTCATAATGGATTTTCTCTTCTTTATTTATTGGGTGGTGATATACGCAGGTCAAATTAAACATTCAGGCACTTTTTTACCATGATTTTTTACCTTTTTACCATAACTATTTACCTTTTGTACTATTCCTACCCAATTAAAAATAAAAAAAATAAAAAAAAAAAAATTAAATTTTTGTGCTCGTGCAAAAACACACGAGCATTTCAACAGTGCTCATCTGATTTCACACGAGCACTGTTGAAATGCTCGCATGTTTTTGCACGAGCATCTTATAAATCAAAAAAAAAAAAAAAAAAACTAATAATAATCTGCTCGTGTAAAAACACACGAGCGGTTGCAAACTGCTCGTGTGATTTCACACGAGCACTTTGCAACCACTCGTGTGTTTTTACACGAGCAATTAAAAAAAATAAAAAAAAAATAATAAAAATGCCTGCTCGTGTGGATTTACACGAGCACAGTGGATGCGCTCGTGTAAATTCACACGAGCAGGCCAACGTGTGATTTTTTTCGTTTTTTTTTTCCGGATTCGTAATCTACATAACAAGAGGATCGTAAAAACGTAAAAATTACCTCCGATCTGTTGACGATTTGCACGGGCTTTGCGAAAGAAAATCGAAAGGTTGAGAGAGTTTTGAGTTTTTTTACTTTTTGTTTTTTGAAAAATGGTAAAAAATGTGCCTGAATGTTTAATTTTGGCCTGCACAAATCATTTCAGTTATTTAATGTTTGTGTTTTATATATATTATATTTCGAATACGTTTTGTGTCTGACGCTCGAGGACACCTCACGGATAAAAAAAATGGGACCGTTTTGCAATTTTTGAAAAGTTAGAAATATATATATGTGTAGCAAATTTTCAAATATTTTTGTTGATTCCCTGACTATTTACACAATTGAAAGTTAGATGTTACATCTGATTATTTATATCGAGTGAATTTAAATCGTATGTTTGATTAAATAATTAACCACTGAGTACACATACACATAGGTGTGTGTGTGTCATTATGTTCAGATGCACGATTCAAATTTATCCAATATAAATAACCAGGTGTAGCTTCTAATTTCTCGTCCACTATTTGATAATTAAGAATAACTCTCTCTCTCTCTCTGTATGTTTTTTTGCAACATTCTAGACTACCTTGTATTTTTCACGAAATTCTGAATTAAACTGAATGGAAATCGACTACGCTGTTTGTGTAGTTGATTAAAATATTAAAATGTATTCGGACTTAAAAACAATAAATCGACTTTAAAAGAAGCATAGTTGATTTATTAATCGACCATTGTCGATTACACAAACTGTTGCATATCAATACTAAACTCGATGGCTGAAAAAGCATAATGTATTGGATGGGATGGGAGAAGCTCTGCCGCATAATGCGTTGGTCGGGTACGCAGATGAGGAACTTGCATTTTTACGAGAGGAGGGCTATTTCAATTCCGGGTGTATGGTGGAGGTGTTTGATATCCAGACGGTGGTGCTTCGGCGGCGCTGGATATGTTTTGATATTCTTAAAAGTTAAAAAGTAAAACTTAAGAAGACAATAGGAATATGCTATAATAACAGCATGAACAAAGCCATTTGCAAGTGTATGTAACTCTGCTACCAAACTTGAATTAAATTTGTCCTTCTATTTGCAAAAAACACCAACTCCCTTCAGAACAATTAATTCTTATGTTTTTATCAAAAAAAAAAAAGCTATCTGATTTGTGAAAATAATAATAATTATAAAAAAAAAAAAAAAAAAAAAAAGTAAATTAATTTTCATAACCATTTATATGTGCCTTTTGCCATCTCCAAGCAACAGCCAAACTCTCTTGAAGATTAGTATATTTAGCTTTCCAATTGAGTTCATTAAATATCTTCGAAGGATCACTGTAAACTTCGGCATAGTCGCCGGCGCGTCGGTCTAGGTAATCCACCTTTATGTTCACACCCGTCGCCTTTTTACACGCCTCCACAAATTCTTTCACCGAACTACCTGCACATTCAAACGTTGATCAAAACACTCGTTAACACAATCATGTAACGAATTGTGTATTAGGCTTCCTCTAGTCCAATTACACAATTGACTCCTCATCTAATTCTGGCAACCAAACGAGGTCTAAGTATATTTTTCAATTTAAAAAATAAAAGTTGAATTGCCCTCGAATAACTAATAACCAATCCGTTGATTGTGGATCGGGCCCAGATCGTCAGATTTGGCCCGAAAGAAAATCCGACAACATAGTTGTCACGTTTAAAAACAATTTTGATGGTGTCTTTATATTTAAGAAAAAAATATTTAAAAAAAAAAACGGACCTTTTCCGGTGCCAACGTTGTAAATGCCGACTTTTCCGGGCTTGGCATGGGCCAAAGCTTTGACATGTGCATCTATTAGATCAGTTACATCAATGTAGTCTCTTACACAAGTTCCATCTTTAGTGCCATAATCAGTTCCTCTAACCTGCAAACCACAATTATACATACATGTATATATATATATATATACAGTTAAACATCTATAAATTAATACGGTCGGGATTAGGGAAATTCTATTAATTTTTAACAAATTATTAAATCATCCAATTAATAATAATTTAACACGTTTTCACCGAGTCGGGACCGGGAGAAACTATTATTTAATCGATGTTATTAATTTATCGAGATTCTAATGTATATATATTTGAAATCATGAATCTTTTATGTAAATAATTTCATTAAATAATAATAACACAATAGAAAAAAAAATGTACCTTTAGTCCAGGAATAATTCCTCTGGCTGCATCAAAACAAGCACCGGATATTCGTCCTTGTTCCCGAAGCTCGGGCCGTGGAGCTTCTCCTAACCGTCCATCGGGATCCGATCCAATCACGTTGAAGTACCTAAATTTTAATTATTTTAATTATATATTTAGACACGGTTATTTAACGCACACATACATGTGGATGTGTGTGTGTGTTTAATTTAAAAAAAAATAAAAAAAGGTGAAATTTAGTAACCTTAAAATCATGACAGCCATGTTTGATGTCTTTGAGTAGTCAATTATGATATCCTCTGCCATTTTCTTGGCTTTGCCATATGGATTTATTGGTAGCTAAACTTTGCAAAATAAATTAAATTAAATTAATTAATAAATAAGTAAATATATCAAAATTATATATATTTCATATTCCCTAAATTTGCTTCAAAAAAAAAAAGGATTACTTGTGTAGTGTTTTCTACGATCGGCATTGTTTTCGGTTCTCCGTAAGTGGCGCAAGTGCTCGAATATATCAAAGTTTTTACGCCATGCGCCGCCATTGCCTTCACGATTATCAACGTGTTTGAAGTAATGTTGTGATAATACCTGCATATATATTTATTAATTGAATCAACGAAGATGCTCGATAAAATAATTTATTTATTTCGCAAATAAATTGCAATTTAATTTTCCTCGTTTCAAAATTCTTGATCCGAAATGACAGAGTAAGCGTACCTTAGAGGTTCAGCTGTGCTTTCGCCAACGTACGCAACAGCGGCGAAATGCATAACGGCATCAAATGCGTTCTCCGAAAATATTTTGTTTACCTTAAATTAAAAGGCTAAGAAAAAATCCTCTGTTTTTCTTTTTTTTTTTATAAAAAAAAAATAATAATAAAATTAAATTAAATTAATAAAAAAGGATACAGATGCAGCATCTCCTAAATCAGCATATATAAACTGAAGTCTTCCTGCCTCTGGAAAATTTTCTTGCAAGATTTTAACCGCTCCCATATTCCCTCGTGAAAGATTGTCCTGTCGATAAATACGCAATTGCAAAAATTCTGAATACGATAAATTAATAACCTCGCTTAAATAATAGTTTATTCCGGTCCCAATTCGGTAAAAGCCTACTAAGTTATTAGTTCGATAATTTAATTTTCACTAAATTAATATAATTCTGCTAGTCCTGGTTGTATTAATTTATAGAGGTTTAACAGTATACGAAAAAATAAATTGTTTTTTACATATGTATGTATTTATATATATGTGTAACAAAAAAATGACGTACCACGATAGTAACACGATATTTGTCTTTAAGAAGTCGAAGAACTGCATGAGAACCGATGTAGCCTGCGCCTCCCGTCACTAAGACGTGTGTTACCCCTTCCTCGTGCTCGGAAAACTTGACACGCGTAAAAATTAAAATTGATTAAAATGTTTCTTATTTTCTTTTTTTTTCAAGAAAAATGCATCGAGGGGTCTCGTTTTTTTCTCTTTTTTTTTGTTCTTGCCTTGGCTACTAATAGAAATCGACATATATTTTATTACACAATGTGAAGACGAAAAAACGAAGAACATAATATATATATATATATATACCTTGGTAGAAACATAAGTAGAAGGTGACCTCTTAATCATGAAAATTAAGAGTGCACTAAGTGCAGCTGCTAATACGATTTTCTTCGTCAAATTGCTCCGCCTCTTCGTCTCCATGTAATCCATATATATAACCCTGTAATCGAACCGTACCAAACATCGAATAAAAATTCAATTGTTTTAATTAATTAATCATCGATGTATCGGACCAACCAAACGAGACCTTACCGTTTCTTGAACGAAAAAATGGACTAATTTGTAGCAAGTTTCTTGGTGTGATTAATTAATCAATCAGTATTCTCCTCACTGTAAATAAATAAATTAAATTAAATTAAAAAATATATATTCTATAAATATTGTCCTATAATCCGATTCGAATTCATCCCGAAAAAGAAAAAAATTGAAAGTAAAATCGATTAATCAAATATTTCTATAATAAATTAAAGTAATTCATGATTGACAGCACAGAAGATACATGTAATAATAAAAACAGAATCGAATTTCGCAAATTCAGCAGTTTTGTAATAAATCAAAAAATACTAATTATATACATATACAAAATAAACTGATGATCAAGAAAACCACTAAGAACAGAAGATCCAACCAAAACAAAATAATTTTTTTTTAATAAATTGTTCTAGAAATCATCGTACAAAACAAAAACCCAGATCACAGCTGATTAAGAAATTTGTCAATTGATGAATCAAAAGAAAAAAATTTACTTGTGTCGAGATTTGCATGAAATGGTCATAAGAAAAGGCAGGAAAATATTATATTATTATATATGAAGAGAGAGAGAGAGAGAGAGAGAGAGAGAGAGAGAGAGAGAGAGAAGTTATTACCCAATAAAGAAGAAGAACAAATGGTGAGGAGTACCTGCAGTTCTGGTGGTGGATATATATAATGAAGACCAAAAGACAGACAAGAATTAATATTAATTAATTAATATTCAACACTTATATTGTCAAACGCCTGTAATAAAACGGATTCTCTCTCTTTCTCTCTCTCTCTCTCTCTCTCTCTTTGTTTCTCTCTCTAAATAAATATATATGTTGACCAATGTAAATTGTGGAGAAGGTGTGAAGGGGAAAGAGTGTGAATTGTGAAAGATTTAAGAATACATATATATATATTTATATGTGTGTGTGTGTGTGTGTGTTGAGAATTGTGAAGGAAGAAAAGTGGGAGGATTAATGAAAGGCATGAAATTAGGAGATTATAACATGAAATTACTAATCTTAACACGCAAATATTGCCATGCATTCTTCTTTCTTGCTTCTTCACTGTGTGTTTTTAGTGTGTGTGAGAGAGAGAGAGTTGGAAAAGGTCTAACTATTAACTAATATTGTAAATCTCCAAATTCAATGCACTTTCTTTTTGGATTTTTCTCTTCTCTCTCTAGGATTTTTTTTTTTTTTTTTTAAATTCGGATTTTCGATTTGGAAGGGACATGAATTGATGTTTTACGTGTTACATATTAGAGGTGGAAATCGGGTTAATCGAAATTAGAATTTTTGGGATAAAAAAAAATTTGCGTTTTTTTGGAAGTGAAAAACTAATTTCAGCCTCGTTACAAAAAGATTAAAGAAAATCAGAAATCAAAAAATTGCCGGAATTGGAGTGATGAAAAAATGTCCATAATTGGAAATTTTCAAATCGAAATCAGATATTTAATTTATAATACATAGTAATATAGAATTTAGAAATTAAAATTTGCCAATTGGATATTTTGGAAATTTAGAATTTTATTGAGAGATTAGTCGAAGTCGTCAAACTAAGATATTTGACCATAAGCATCTACACATACTGAAATGAAAATGTGTGTTTTTTCATGTAAATCAATATCTTAAATACCATGAGATTATTATAAATATATTAATTTGTTTTAATACTAATAATTGTGACGTAATAATAGAAAAGGTTGACTTAGCCTACTAAATAAATAAATATGTATGTTTATTTGCTTGAAGATGACATAACGTGGAAACGTGCAACTTCCCTTGTCGGCTTATTCTCACATTACTTTATTTCAATTTTGGTTTACTAATTATTATTTATTTAATTTTATCTTTTATTTGTTATTAATCGTTGTTTTTTATAAAAAGTCAAACATTTCATTGCCTTCGTAAGGCTGTCAGTCAACGCAGACGGTTCCTTCCATTTTTTTTGTTCAAATCTTTTTTTTCTATGGTATACATTTTACTCTTTTAAAATAATAATTAGTAAACCAAATATATTAATTAATAATTTCATTTAAAAATTATTAATTAAAGTGGATGCTCTTGCATGCTTATTTATAGTTTCATTTAGAAATTAATAATCTTCAATGTTGTACAAAAACAGGTTAATTGTCATCATTCATTGTTATGTTATTTAGGGTAAATTACGACAACCGCTGAGATACAGTTAATTTATTTAAAAAAAATCCTCTTATTTGGATAATTACATCTACTCCAACTATGATTTTTTCTTACACCTCCCTCCTTATAAGGAATCAAATTCAATATAATCTAGATTTCGTGGAATGTGCTCAAGTTTGTACTCATTTTGTATAAAAATACAGTTTCTGATGCACCACAATCATATATATACAAGCCAAAAAACACATATTATAATCATCTTGGTTGAAAATGTGGAGTTCGAATGGAATAACATAGGTACAAAAGTGATAATATTCCATATAATCTCGAAGATTCCACTAAATTGAAACAGCAAGGATGGACATTTAAAAAAAATTATAGTTGAAGGGGGTAGTTATAATTACCCAAACATGAGGAGGGTTTTTGTAATTTGACCATACCTCAGTGGTGGTTGTAATTTACCCTATTATTTATTAACTCTTGAATTTAAATAAAATAAATTAATAAATAAAGTTGATCCATAGCTACTAAAAATAATTAAAAAAGAAAACAGAGCTCAACATAATAACAGAACAAAGACCAAAAAATTGCAAGAAACCAGTCACAGTGAAACACAGCTCCAAAATCTGCAGGACTAAAAAAATACACTTAGGAACACTAAATGCTACAACGAAAACCGCAGCTGAAAAGACGAACAAGAGCATAGGGTTCGTCTTCAAAACCCGTTTCCAACAAAACCTAAACAAAATAATCCTCTCTATAGACGAACAAGTTTTCGACTTTTTTTCTACAGACACTAAACACAGTAAGCCAAATTCGAGAGCGTAAACACCATAAAAAAACGTCAGCATTCTCAACGGCTTACCTGTACATTTTTCCACCCCCTTACAGTTAAAAACGTTCAACCCCGAGCGTTTACATCGAAATAAAATAAAATAAAAGCTCTCATGATATTAAAAAAAAAAACATATAAGAGCTTCCGACATAGTAATAACATAAAGACAGTTAAAATAAAAACAAACCCTTCCACAAACAACGAAAAGGGATGAGAGAACTGGTGGAAAGAGAGAGAAGGAAACCTTAGTCGGCGTTAAAATTCCGCCCTAAAGATACACACCTCGGTGTCTGTGCTTCAATCTTTGTGCTGTGACATACAATAAAGCTTCTACGGATCAACCTTTTTTTTTCAGCCTCGTACAGACTCGGGATTTATTTGTCCACTACTTCCACCATGAGCATTAAATCCAGTAACAGGCATCGATCTTTGAGCAAAATTCAGCAACAATTTCTTCTGGCTCTCGTCAGTGTGTGGCAGACTAGCACGTAGAAGCTCAACTGGCATTTCCCTACTCACAGCTCTAGCCGCCTCCGAATCAATCGACTCTGCATTCGGTGCATTCTGAGCAATTATAGACTGCACTATACTATCATATTTGCTCACGCAGTACTTTGTCAAAAGACCGAAAAATGCATCAAACGAAGCCTGCCAAAGAGCAGGATTAGGAATGCTGAAGTTGCTGCCAAACGGAGGATCTCTCAATAGGACAGTTGCTCTTTCCAGAACGGATTTTAAGATGACCGAGGCACCATCTCCGGCGGGGCTACCCACCGGACGAAGCGGCGGTTGTTCGGAGGAACACACCACAGCGGCAAGACAAGCACTGAGCGAATTGAGATCCATTCCACTAACACATAGAGAGACCGTTTTAGCAAGGCTGTTAATGGTGGTTGCTGCTTCTGGGTCGGAAGGTAGGCCCCCAAACAGAAACCTTAAATGGCGAAATATAGCCATGCAAACTATCCGAGTTAGCTCGCTGCCAGGTAGAAGAAGCTGAAGAAACTTCGAGATCAGTTTCCGGCCTTTGGAAAGGGAAACTATACGTAAAAAGACTATATCGTCCTTCGGTGACAGCCCGACAGAGTTTCCACTTTTGCCGAGGGGGTCCACCAGCTGTAGAGAAGCGGCTAAGCCTTCTAAGAGAAGATGACGTTTGCGTCTGAGCTGGCTTCCACCGTCTTGGGGTTGAGTGAACTGTAAGAGGCGATCAATGTCATCCACATCGAGAAGAAGACAAAGCCCATCTTCCACTGTTATCCTTGCTGCAAGCATTGGTTCCTTTTCCAAAGGCCTCTCAGATGACTTCGGATCAGAGTTTCCATCTCCACAAGCGGATGGAGGAGGATTAACTTCAAGAAGTGTGTGGGGCCTACGTATCGAGGAAAAACAAACCCTTCCAAGAGAATCCACATGGAGATGGGGCTGCGATTCAGTACTGTTACGCGATCGGGAAGATTGTTCCTTCTGGTGGGATGGGCAAAACCGATACCTTGACCTTGTTTCAGCAGACTTCTTAGCAAGACTGGCTTGGTGGTAATAATCGTCCACGTAAGGGTCATTGCCGTGGTTTGAAGCATGCTGCATTTTCAGAATACTCTCGATTTCTTCAGCAGTCATGTACTTTGATCTGAATTGCGGCAGATTACTGTCGCTCCTCTGGCTGCTAGCATCGGAACTTTGGTTGGAAAACCGCACAGAGTGTCTACCTTTCTGCGCTGATTTAGGTTTCGGTTCTCTCTTATCGGTTAATCCATATTTATTGAAATGTGAAGGTGAAGGAAAGGTATTAAATATCTGAGATTGCATTGCTGAAAAATGGGCTAATGACGGGTTAAATGAAATGTGCCCTCTCTGTTGTTGTTGCGACAGCAGCTGCTGCGATGGCAATAACCCATTTTGATACTGGTGCTGCAATACATTGTTCAAGAGAAGAGTATGATCCCCATGGAGAACACCAGCATGGCTGCTCCATTGATTTTGAAGTCGATTGTGGTGAGAGATATTAGGCGAGGTTAGACGTGACATGTTTGTATTGTAATGGTACCCACGAGGCAAGCCAGACAAATTGAGAGTAGAGTTAGTTAACGAAGGGTTATTTGGTGCAGAGAAAGGCGACTGGGGTCCACCAGAAAGGGTTGACAAATTAAGATGATGAGAATTATTCGGTGAAGCTTGTTGGGAACCTGGTGGAGGAAAGGAAGTGAAAGATGACTTTGGCACTAAAATAGGCTCACTATTGAAGTGTTGTAGCTGCGGTTGCTGCTCAGGGTACGATGATGTTCTGTATAACGGTTTTGATTCTTGAAGATACATTTGAGAGAGATGGGGCTGTGATGACCATCTCTTATTTTCCTCATAGCATTCCGAATCAGACATGTGGTGCTCATGCCAATCAGGACAATCTGCCTCTCGTGCCCATTCTGTAGCCGATGAACCTGAATTGAATTCATGTTAATCATAGTGCCACCAAGTAAATCATAAAGGAAAAGGACAAAGAGGAAAATGAGTTGAAAATTATCTGAAAATCAAAGCATATGGCACACAGGTAAAGCATTCCAGTTTAAATTTCTAAACGCCATGAACTTGAAGATTACCATATAAAATATTATGGGATTTGATGGCCATTAAAATAGAATGCAATCAAGTGAATGAACAGTGAAATGCATGTTACTAAGGCTTGCAAAGGTGATTGTAAATCGAATTTCACGACAAGATAATATCTAATGCTTTGCCACCTCAAGTTACCACCTTCAGTCTTTCACCTTCTAAACATCTACATTAAGATATTTAGGTTCTTTCTAGAACACTCCAAGTGAAACAGTACGCAACTGAAGCAAATGGAAATGAAAATCTGTTTGCAAATAAAACACATGGGCATAGTGCCTTTGAGTATTTATATTTAACTTGTTGGATATCACGGATAACAAGGATATTGAGCACCTTATGACAGTTGAAATTCATTCAGAGCACAATCACTATCATTTCATTAAACTGCACACATGAGCAGTTGCAAGTGCATTCCGAAAATAGGGGTACAAATTGAGGTTTTGCATACAGTGTTTCACTTTGAGAAACGAAATATTTTTGTAGCTAATACTAGTGCATACGCTGCAAATGGGACGAGGTCTCAGTAACAGAAGAAATACACACGTGGACATCTATGTGTTTGCTTCAAGACGGCAGTGATTCTTGGGTAAAAGCCATATTGTTCTAAAACCCGCAAGAGAAAAAAAATTCCCATTATATATAAAACATTTAAACCACATTCTCCTCATGGGAAAGAAGGATCATGGTCCTCATTGAACTTCCCTTATATCATGAATACACTGCAGAGGTCATAGGGCAGGAAATAACTTAAGACTTTTAGTAAACCGAACGACAAGTGAGGTGCCAAGGGCTTTGGTTTTTGGCAAATGATACAATTCACAATCAAACCGGTTTTTAAACTCTCTATAATGAAAAACAAAAGGACTTACAATGACTTTAAACATAAATAGCAAGAGAGCACATAAAATAAATTTAAAAAAAAAATTATGATCCACAATTAGGAAAATCTTAAGAACTCACTTTCTCTAGAGAAAGATCCAGATCCTCGATCACCAATAACTCCAGGATGTCTGGGTCCAGTAACGACTTTGTTCAACTGCAGAAAACAAATCGATGAAAATAACTGAAAGAAAGACACCAGCAATAAAGTGATAATGACTAAACTAACGGAAAATCGGACAGACTAGTGCCCTGGAGCTCCAAGGCAGGCTCTCATTTTGTTTAAGTAGCTTTCATTTTGCTTCATTTTAGCAAAATAAAAAATACAAATTGGAAACGAGGTTAGATGCAACTCACCTTTGCAAATGTAGTAGCTAGATCATCTATATCAGATAACGATCCTAATCCTGACCCCTGAAAATAAGAACAGAAGAATAGCAGTCAATAGCAAAGAACTCCATGCTCATATTTATTAGATGAAAATTAACCTAACAAACAACTACAAATTCATTCATTTTTGTTTATTATTATAGAACAATGCACAGGCTGTAATTAAAAGCAAGCAATTTCTCCACTGTGTGAAATAACTACAAATTAGATTGAGTGCATCTTCAGAACTTCAATAATGCAACTTCTGTCTATGAAGAAACAACATACAACATTATGCTCCTGTTTGAAAAATCATGTCAGCTCACTCATAACGAAAATTTCACAAGTTATATTGGTTTAGAAGCGAAAATATGTTACGAAGCAACTGCGCGATTAAATTTCTGAACTCCCTAAATGAATCAATTGGGATAATTCTATACTGTTGTCAGCTCATATTTATCAACCGAATGATACCCATGCAACGATTAGTCAACACCCATTCCACATCCGAATAGTTTTCAAAAAGGCTGGAATCTGAAAACCCGACTTTACACCTCACATACATAGAAATGCTCTACATGTATATAAATTACGACACTTCACTTCAATAGTTTACCTCATCTTTGTCAAACAAATGATACTCATTTAACTCATCTTCCCCACTAAATCTGCCTGCATTTACGGGTACACCCTCGTCTTCATCTTCCAAACCGCCCAGTTCTACTTCATCCACCATACCTTTCCCGAAAAAGGTATACTGAGACGCATCAAACAGCACGCTATCTGCATCAATAAATCCCCCAAAAAAATTAAAAAATAAATAAATAACCTCAATTCAAACCTACATAAGGTAACCGTGGCAGAACATCATCCTCACAATAAATCAAACTAGCGCACCGCCCCAATTTATTGAACAAAAACCAAACAAAAAAAATCATGAATCTTAAGCAGAGATCGCAAATAGAAATTAAAAATAAAAAATAAACGAAACAAAAATCAGCAGCGTAAATTGATTAAGCTTGGATTTCGAGCTGCGAACCTGAAACAGAGCTGCTGGATGGGTCGAGAAATTCATTGAAATCATTTCCATCAGATCTCTCCATAATTACGAAAACAACCGCAGAAAAATGCAATTACAGCGAGATGAATTTCCCCAACCCCAACCAATCAACCCACCCACCCACCCACCCCTCCTCTTTCTAAATAGGGTTTTGAACCACCCACTGTTACACACACAGAGAGTTCAGAGAGTAAGGGAATATTTGTGCGTTTGAAGAGTTAGAGAGAGAAAGAAGAGAGAGAGAGAAGGGGGAGGGGAGGGCGGAATGAAGAGGGAATCTGTGTGTATATAAATTGTATATGATGAGAGAAAATAGGGTGGATTGCTTCCCGGAATGTGTAAGTGTGTGAGATTAGAGATAGAAAACACTGTGTGTGTGTTTTTGTGTGTGTGAGAGAAAGATAAGAGAGAGAGATTAGATTAGATTAGTACTTATTAATTAATTAATTTGTTTGGCTTTTTCTAATTTTTTTTTATTATTTATTTATTAACTGGCAGACGTAATACGGAAGAATTAACATTGACTTTTTTGATCCATGTTAGTGGTGTTGTAAATGTTGCACCCCCCACATAATTTATCAATTTTGATTTAAGCATATTCATACATTAGAAACTCGATAAACTAATAACCCTACTCAAGTAATAATTTATTCGGATCTCGACTCTGTAAAAATGTACTAAATCAATATTTTGATGAATTAATAGACTTTTGTGAGTTTCGGCTGTATTAATTTATAAAAGTTTTATTGGACATATATACGTTCGTGATATATAAATACCTACAAAATTGATCACATATGATAAGGTAAATTATTAATTTCATTGTAATGGTGGACTTCATTTTTTTATCGTGGACCTGAAATAATTTGATTTTTTGTAATGAATTATTTTACTAACTCCTACTATTATTTCCTTAACGAAGTTTGACAGGAACAACTGACATTAACACAAGGACTTAAATTATAATTTAGAATTTAGAAATTAAACAACTTTTTTGTTTAATTTGTAATATTTTTTCCATATTTATAGTAAACATTGAGAGTCCATAAGTTTGAAGATAAAAAAAAAATAATAAGTTTATAAATTAATATGATCTTATTCAATTCATGTAACCGAACAATCTCTAAATACTATAAGGTAGTAATATTGGATTTACTAAGTTGGATTTATTATAAGGTAGTAATATTGGGTTACATGGATTTAATTAAGTTGGATCGTATTGGATTATGTTAATTATCCACTAATTATTTAATTGGTTAATTAGCAAGATGATAGGTTCCTTACATTATCTAGTGTTAAATTATAATTATCAAAATTTGGTACTAAATATAATTTCTCAATTACTTTCCTAATTTAAGAATAATCAAATCCGATTTCATAGTATTTTATGAATAAAATTGTTTGGCCTTGTTCTTTTTAGTCACTAACTACAAAATGAGTTATACGAAGAGGAAGTTAATAAAATATTATTAATATTATTTGATTTTTAAAACTAGATATAAAATATTCAACCATATATTTAACTAATTAAATAATTAATTAATCAATTAGTACCAAATTAATTTAATACATGCAACTGAATAATAAATAATTTGATTCCAGTTTTTTTAATCATTAGGAAGTTTACTTTAAATATTTGTCACGAATTCAAAATTTACTACCTAATCCATTTCTTTTTAATGCTAATCTAATCCAATTACCTAACGATAGAGATTTGGTCTAATTTTTATTAAATTGATAAAACGACCAAAGCAACTAAATATTTGAAATAAATTTACTATTTATTGACTTAATCACAAAGTTTAAAATTTCTAATTAAGTACGTATTTTAAATTATTGTCCAATTTTTAGTGCGTTACGTTGAAATTCTTAGTATAATTCGGAGATAATTCAGCATACACGCAATTAAAGAAATACGACGTAATAATGTATAAATATTTAATTGATTCGTTTAATAACGAGACCACAAAGTTTTTATCGAGACCCTTTCGGTTATAATGCAATAAAGATTTATCTTTTCGGCCAAAAAAAAAGTATTACTTAATAAAAATCATTAATTTAAGCGTTTATTTTATAAATTTACAAAAAAATATTACTTTTTAGAAGTAAATATGGATTTCCTTAGAATTTTAAAAACTCCGTTACAGTGTAAGAACATAAGAAGTAATTATAATTTCTTAAATACATTAATACCCGATAAATTAATAACCTCGCTTAAGTAATAAATTTTTCCGGTCCCGACTCGGGGACAACGTGCTAAATTAATAATTCGCTAAATTTATAAGATAATACACATTCGAAAATTTTAAGAAGCCCCATATAATATATAAATTAATAATGTATAAAAATATTTTTTAAATTACATGGTACAATACATATTTTATAAATCTATGAAGGCTTAATACAATAAAATTTAATTGTCGCTTGTTTTTTGTTGAAGTTCACATTACCATCAATCTCGTCCCTCACTTTTCTTAAAATGGATAGAACTTTCGGTATAGTTTTCTCATAGCTCAACATAAAATCGTTCTATACCATTGCTGCTTTAAGAGCTTCCGTATGTAAAATGGGCTCTACAGTGCATTGAACTAATGGTACAATGAATAATATACACGTAAAAAATTTAAAAAAACTGTATTTATTGAAAATAATAATAAAAGTAATTTCATAAATTAATAAGTTATTAATTAATGTATAAATTAATAATTATTAATTTATCGATAAGTTAATATTTCGCTAAATTAATGAAATTTTGATGGTCCCAACTGTATTAATTTATAGAGATTTAACTGTAAGACGAAATTTGTTTGTAATTACATTAAACCTTAGGGATGTAATCATAATTTACCAATAGATGTCGGTTGATTGATAATACAGAATTTAAATATAACAACAAGTGAGAATAATTAAATAAATTAATAAATAATGAAAAGACAAGTCAAGTCACCAAAGACACATGAAAACATCTCGTGTCTCATATGGTGTCAAATAAGACAAAAAATCATAACTAAATATTAAACTTTTTTATTTACGCAAATGTGAAATGACAAATATTTATTTGTTTTATTTTTTAATATATCCAAAATGTGATACTTATTTAATTTAGGACCACATTAGTTGTTCTTCCCTATCCAAAAAGGCCTTTGTTCTTTGATTGACAGAGACAACAATAAAAATAAATAAAATAATAATAATAAGTAAATAAATAAAAAGGGAATATAAATTAAAATAATAAATAAAAATTACTACAAATTTGCTCAGTGTATATATACATACATATCTCACAAGTACAGTATAATTTAGCATATAATATGCAGATTTCAGACAGACAACAAACAGAAGAAATGAAGATGTACTATGTGTGGTATATAGTTACAAGGTACATACATATATATAGATATAAACTCCGCTGAATATTTAAAAAAAAAAAAAACGAGTTTCCGAACTTTTTAGAAAAGCCAATGCTTCTTCCTGTGTTTTCTTGTAGGAACCTCTGGCGAAAATCGAACAAAACAATTTACGTATATTAGCCACCGTTTCGAAATATTATGTGCGTGATATATTGTAATAAAACGAGCATTTGTTTACCTCCGGCTTGATACAAGGAATTATAGTGAACTTCACTCCAAAAGCTCAGCCACAATTCTTCAAGAAAAAAACGGAATTTAAATTAAAAAAAGAAAAAAAAAATCAAGAAAACGAAATCTTATTATCGAATGTAAAGCAAGACGATTAGAGTACCTCGGACCGGACTTCTGTCCTTCGGAAGAATCTCAATATACGAGTTGTCCCGGAAAGAGGTGACGAGACATATTTTTGCTTCAAACTACATAATGTCCAAGAAATGAAATATTATTAAATATTATAAACATAAAACCAATATACGAAGATAGAAAACATTTGAATAAATTAACGACAAATAATGCCTAATACAGTAAAACCTCGATAAATTAATACTTGATAAATTAATAACCTCGCTTAAATAATAGTTTCTTTCGGTCCCGACTCGGTGAGAATGTGTTAAATTATTAACTCAATAATTTAATAATTCGCTGTTATTAATAGAATTTTTATCGTCCCGACTGTATTAATTTATAGAGGTTTAACTGTAACTTAATTAACGATGGCTTATGTTAGCAGCCAAACGAGGCCTTAAGACCATTAAGTAATCAATGAATGAAATACAACTTACTAGGTCGGCAGCTGCTTGTAGAGTGACGTGATCTCCCCATTCACCCAACCTAAATTTAATAATTAAATAATGTTAAGACAAACACGATTGTAATCCTATAATACCGGGAAAAAAGAATTAATAAAATCCACATCTCGACCTTTTCATCTTCTTTACATAGCTTCGGTACTTCATAGGTACGTAACTTTCATATAGATGCCTATGGCGTTTAAGCTGAAAAACAAGAAAATGATTTAAGAAAAATAAACGACAATTTCCGAAAAGATGCATAATGTAATTTTAATGTTAGATCCAGGACATCCCCTGAGGTAAGGTCAAATTACGAAAATACCCCTTATGTTTGGATAATTACAACCACCCCCCTTCAACTATATATTGTCTTACGAAACCCCCCCTCCTTCAATAGGTAAATTTAAAACCGTAAGGGTGGACGTGTAAGACAATACATAGTTGAGGGGGGTGGTTGTAATTATCCAAACATGAGGGGGTTTTTCGTAATTTGACCTTACTTCAGGGGATGGCCGTAATTTGCCCTTCATTTAATACTTCACATATGAAAATTAATGTTTAAAATTACCAAAAAATAAGTCCGCGTATTAAAAAGTTTCAAGAATAAGATTGTGTCACGAATGTATGCACAAGATACTATATATATAAATAAACTAATTTAAGGCGGTTAATTCGCAAAACACGATTAAACACAAAGTTACTTTGTCCGTGTGTATATATATATATATATATATATATACACACATAAACCGAACTGCACCTGTTTAACGACGTGCTTTCTTACATACTTGTGGTGATCTGAATTTTGAAATAATTGGTCCGCAAGGGCTCGAAACTGTAAAATAGCAGCCAATTAGAGATAAAATCCAACATAAGCAAGTCGAATAAAATAGGAAATTACTAAAATACCCTTTCGTTTAAACATTTTATTATACAACAAGAAGCTCAATCAAGTTAACAAATTTAGAAGAGTCGAGACAGTAATTGAAAAACGAACCTGGCAATTTCCATCTCCCTCCATTTGCATTTCAGCTAAGCCATATGTCGTCATCCTGCGATAATAGCCTACTCGTATGAATAACATGTACATATATATATATATATATATATATATATATATATATATATATATATATATATATATATATATATATATATATATATATATATATATATATATATATATATATATATATATATATAACCATAACCAACCACGAATAATAATAATACATATGGCATTTTACGAATAAAAATAGAACCTTTGAGCTAGTGTGTTGTGGTCTAAGGTGGCATCATTTGGGTCGGGTATAGCACTAATGACTCGGGGAGTATGCTGCAAATACGATGAACTTTGTCGGTGTACATAATCGAAATCGTAAGAGACTAAAAAAATAATTATTCCCACGAGTTCTTTTCAATTTTAATCACTAAACACGAATATTAATCTCAAGAAACAATTCAATGCATAAGCAAACATTTTTCCCTCGTTTGGTTTCTAAGATAAGATCAAATAATCTAACGAAAACCTAATAAATAATCTCTCTAAAAGGTAAGATAGGCCGATAAAATAACATTTCCGGGTCGACCAGGAAAATTATTGGGTCTACCAAACATCCCGACAGAGTTCAATTATTTAATTAATCATGGCTAATCGCCCCAACCAGACGAGGCATAAATCAAGAATGTATCGCTCAAACTAATAAATAAATAAATAAACCGAAAAAAGAGAAACTTCCATTCATGGGTGAAGAATGATAATACGAACCGGGATGGAGTCCAAATGAGAAAGCCTCTTGCCGAGTTTGCCGTCGTATCTTGATTTCTCGTCTTCGGCTAACATGGCGGCAATCGTATGATCATCCTCTGTATCGTGTGAACTACTATTCAAACTCGAGCTCGAGCTCGCACTTGTATTACCGTATCCGTAATATTCATTCATAGTACTCTTATCTCACTTCACCTTAATCTTCCCAAACAACCTAGTACATACATCAAGAAAAAAAAAAAAAAAAAAAAAAAGACACTAATTAATCAGAAACAAATTAGCCATAAAATCACAATTCACCATACATACATAATTATTCATCATGCTTTCGAGACAAAATCAAACCCGAAAAAGGGGGAATCTTTTAATTTGACCAAAAAAACAAAAAAAAAAAAAAAAAATTAATCTAAATCCCAGATAAAAAAAATCTTGAAGTGAAGAATTAGTGATAGCCCAATACAAAATTGAGCTGGGAAGCAACAAAAGGAGTGGACTTTGATTCCAAGTAAAGAAACCAAACAAAAATAAAATGACATAAATTAGCATATTTTGATAAACAATTAAACAATCATAACCCACAAAAACAAAATTAAAAATAAAAAAAATAAACAAGATTGATAGAGAAGGGCATACCTATAAACAGTGGCAATGAAATTACGAATTTATTAAAAAAAAAGAAAGAGCAGAGATTAGAGCAGCGAAGGGAAAAGGAGACAAGTGAAGGGATTTTGTTTGAAGAATGGGTTTTTGGATGACGTCATTCGTTTGTTTATGTCGACAAGCAATCCAATCGGACGCGCTTTTGGTAAACAAACAACTTCTTCAGAAAGCGTGTTTCTAAATTGAGCTGCTTTACAATAATAATAATATACGTGTCAATTATTATTTTTTAATTAGTAGAGGGTCATACTAATTGCTACTACTGCTACATGAGAAATGGATTCGTTTTCACATGTAATAATTTGGTAGATAGGTGGGGGATGATTTCATAAATTTTATTTTTATTTTTTAATAATTGAAATGTGTCGTACTTATTTCAATATTATAGTGTAGGAATCGTTTGTGTTTCATATATACAAACGTATTGTCCCACGCCCAAAGGCCTACATCGATAAGCTCATAGAGGCACGTAAATTTAAGTCCAAATTGACTAAAGATAATAAATAATACAAGAACTAGTCGGGCCATATTAATTGGCTTAGGCCCATGAGAATATATGTCTCCATATAAATACCCAAAAACCTCAATCAAGGTGTTTACAATTCATAACTCCTGACCAGTCTCTTGAATTCTTATATCATACAAAGCTGACTTGAGCTTCGTCGGTGGGCTTTCGTTGGGACCAATCCCAACATTCTAATGACTTTTTGTAATGCAGGTAGTGCGCACGCGAAAAATTGCAAAACGTGACGTAGAATCGTACCACGATAGACCATTTTCCAGTTTGATTTCGCCAAAGTTCAAAGCACAGAAACTGTAGTATTTTGAGTTGGCTTTCGAATCCAACTTGAATATATTAGATTGCTTAAAGGAGAACAAAATCTTCTAGATGGATACCCATACGAATCTACAAGAGGGGCGGCCACAATTTTTTTCATTGAATTGATTACTAATTATTATTATTATTATACATATAAAATAATATTAAAAAAATCTTGTAACTTGTAGAGTTTGTAGTATCTTCAATTAAGGTCGTGTTTGGCGGGTGGACGGTGGACTATAGTCTTAATTCTTAAAATGTTAAACTATACCCCCACCACCACACACGCGCACAAAAATGGTGAGCAAATTAACCAACATGTAACTAAATATTCAACTAATCACACTATAATACAATCACAAAATTACATTAATAAACATCCAATCAAAATAATATAACAAAAATGACAATTTAGATAGTAATTTTATTCACCAAGATCTTCCATGAACAAAGATAAATTAGCCATTGCTTTTGAACTCTCTTCCTTGCCAAACAACCTCTCATTTAATCTCTCAATTCTCCACCTCATTTTTTCATCCTCCACAACTTCCCTAATCCCATTCTCAACTTCCTCAACTCCAAACCCTTCAATCTTCACTCCAATCCTCCACGCGTCGACAATATACGCGCAGTTCAAGAACTGATCGCCCGCGATTGGGTAGCACAACAAAGGTTTCCTACACTGCACGGCCTCCACGGTCGAATTCCACCCACAGTGCGTGAGGTAGCACCCCACCGCGGGGTGCTTCAGCACCTCGACCTGTGGGGCCCACGGGACTATCCTCCCGTGGGCCGCCACCCGGTCAGCGTACCCGTATGGTAGCCCGCGACGCCACGCATGCCCTAACACCCAGACGAACGGCCTCCCCAGAGCCTCGAGCGTCAGTGCCAAACCCTCCACCTTCCCCTCGCCTATAGGACTAACCCAACTCCCGAACGACACGTACAAAACGGACCCCGCCTCCTGCTCGTCCAGCCAGTCCACACAGTTCTTGTCCTCTTCCCAAAAGCTAGCGGTGCTTATTGTATTGGCCTGCATGATTAGAGGCCCCATTTTGAGAACTCGGGGAAACATGTTTGTTTTTTGAGTTTTCGAGTCGAGCTCGTTCGGGAAGGTGTTCGTTAGGAGGTATCGGAGGGTTTTAGCTCTTTCTAGGGTTCGGGTCCAAAACTTGAATCTCGAAACCCTAGCCGAAGAAGAGCCGATAAGCCATGGGAGTTCATTTGCAGCTAAAGTAGGCTCGTTGGGAGACAAGCATATACGAGATTTCGGATTTGTCGGACAACCTGCAACCGATGAACCCTAATCAGTTTTTTTTTCTCCAAAAATAGCAATCAATAATTAATTAACCTGATTAATTCATTAATTAAATAAGCAATCCACACATTTTAATTGTTTAAGAAATTAAAGATTTTGTGGAATCTAAAGATCTTAGTGCTTACGAGTAACATTTTGCATCACATAAGTTGAGTTGACCGTCCAATTATTAATTATACACATATCTATACAACACATTTATATATGTATATGAATTATTAATTAGATTTTAAATTTTCTTATTTAAAGATATCAAAGATTCTAAATATAGTAAGGTATATTTTTTAGTCAATCGCTTAAACGCATGCAAAAGTAATAGGGTTTTATAGATGCTACACTCGTTGAAATAAATTCAGTATTCTTGAATCATTGATTTACACATTATAACACATACACTAATGTATATGTGTGCTTAGTGGATATTTATTATACAGATTTACAGTTCAAAACAACCTGGTGTGTTACGTTACACCAAATGTAGCATCTCATAGACCAAATAATAATGTGTCTGAACGCATATTTTCGCATGTAATTTTGGTAGCAATTATCATTTTTTTTTCCTTTTTTGTATGTACTACAATTAGGTGTGACCTAATAAGTTTATGGATCTTTTCAAAAAAAAAAAAAGAAAAAGAAAAATTGGGTTTATGGATGTAGTAAATAAAATTATGTTAGTTATATAATTACATTCATATATATAAGCATGCATGTCAAGCATAAACATGTGCAATTAATTCTTAGAGATATGCATATTGGGTGTTTATTTTCTAACAAATTTATTTAATAATTACTTTAATACATTTAGAGTAGATTTAAAATACTTAATAGTTAATACATTATGATAATTTGATAGTACATCACTTGATAATTTTGGTATATTAACAGTTAAATCTCTTTAAATTTTGGGTAAATTACAAACACCCCTGAGGTATGGTCAAATTACAAAAACACCCCTCTTGTTTGTATAATTACAATCACCCCTCAGCTCTTCAAATTTAGTGGAATCTTCGAGATTATATGAAATATTATCACTTTGTACCCGTTTTATACCATTCAAACTCTACATTATGAAGTAAGATGATCATAATATGTGAGTTTTAGCTTGTGTATATCAGTTTGTAGTGCATCGGAAACTGTATTTTTACACAAAACGAATACAAACTAGAGCACATTCCACGGAATCTAGATGATTATATTGAATTTGGCACAATAAGGGTGGAGATGTAAGAAAAAATCATAGTTGAGGGGTAGATGTAATTATCCAAACAAGAGGGGGGTTTTTGTAATTTCACCATACCTCAGGGGGGTTTTTGTAATTTCACCATACCTCAGGGGGGTTTTTGTAATTTACCCTTAAATTTATGCAGTCGGGACTAACTAAATTCAAATTAATTAAGCGAAATATTAAATTACCGAGCCAATAATTTACTATGTTTTACCAAGTTGGGACCGGGAAAAAGTATTATAAAAAATATTATTTAAGCGAGCTTATTAATTTATCGATGTTCTACCGTATATGTTCTGTAATAAATAATGAAAGTTTGTCTTACCATTTTCGGAGATAACCCCAGTACGGATCAAGTCGGGAATGGCGGAAACGAGGCGGTAAGTTGCGTGCATGGCCGGCCAGAACCCCACCGCCTCCACGCCGCACTGCCGTGCGACGCCGACGGCCCACGACGCCAGCAAATCGACCACCAAACAAGCAACCCCACCGCCTCCGTGGATCATCCCTCGAACAATATCTTCGAGATTCGAAGGCATTGTTTCCTCCATGGCCCGCTGGATGGAGAAGAAATCCCGAGGCTCGGCGGGGTCCAATCCGTCGGAGATGGGAACGCAGAGAATCCCGTCTCTGGGATTGATCTGCGGCGAGATGCGGCGGTGGATGAACTCCGGCGTGACGACGACGGGACGGAAGCCAAGGTTGGAGAGGAGGGAGGCGAGCTTCAGCATGGGAGTGACGTGGCCTTGTGCTGGATATGGGATAAGGATTATTATCTTCTTCTTCATCTTCATTTCTCTATTATGGTGTTTTGTTTAATTAATTCTGTGAATTTAATTAAATTGGTTTTTATGTCTGCAAATTTTGGCTATGGTGGGGTAGGGGTTAGGCTGAAATTTAGGCAGTTCTTGACATACTTTTATATATATATATATATATATATATATATATATATATATATATATATATATATATATATATATATATATATATATATATATATAGACACACACACTCAGGCAGCAGTTTGTTGTGTTTGTCCAGTAGTTGAATTATGAGTCCTATGTTTACCTATATCGGATAAGTTTAGATTAAATGAGATTCGATTAATTATATACTGACTAATTAACTAATGGGTAAATTACAATCACTTATGAAATATGATCAAATTACGAAAAAAAATAGTTATGTTTGGTAATTACAACTATTTCCTTAACTATGAATTTTCGTCCACGTTTTTTCCTTGCGGTGTCAAATTTAATGGAATCTTCTAAATTATATGGAATATTCTCAATTTTGTACCCATTTTATCCCATTCTGGCTCCTCATTTTGAAGCAAGATGATCATAAGATGTTTGGCTTGTAAATATCAGATTGTGGTGCATTAGAAATTGCATTTTTGCATAAAACGAGTACAAACTAGAGAATATTCGACGGAATCTAGAAGATTGTGTTGAATTTGACACAGTGAGGGTGGACGTGTAAGAAGATTCATAATCGATGGGTAGTTGTAATTATCCAAACATGAGGGATTTTTCGTAATTTAATCATACCTCACGGGGTGATTGTAATTTACGCTTAATTAATTAGCTAGTGTGATGTTCGGTATGTATGAACAGATCTTGTATTAAAACTGTTAAATTTTAGTATTATATTTTATTCGTCTATGATAAAACATTTTATGTAATAAAATTAGAGTAAACTGCAAAAACTACCCCTGTGTAATCTCGAAATAGCAAAAACCCCCCTGTGATAAATAAACTAGCAAAAACCCCCCTGTGAAATTATTTAAATAGCAAAAACCCCCCTATGGAACTATTTGAGGGTTGACTTGATATAAAAAGACACAAATACCCCTGGAGTCTTGCAATTAATAAATTCTTATATTTTATAAATATTTTAATTATTTTATTTAAAAAATAATCAATTTAGTTGTTTACTATTTTTTTTTTAATTTCTAAACAAATAAATTAAAAAGAATAAATATACATATAATATGTATATATATATAAATACATTTTGAGGGACAATTTTGTCATTTCAAGTCTAAAAAATCAGCTAGGGGGGATTCTGCCTTTGACTAAATTTCACAGGGGGGTTGTTGCTAGTTTATTTATCACAGGGGGGTTTTTGCTATTTCGAGATAACACAGGGGTAGTATTTGCAATTTACTCAATAAAATTAACATATGGTTTGAAGGATAACACTTCTAATCCATAATATTATATTAAGCTAATTAATAATACTACTGAATTAAGCTAATTTAAGTGGAGTTTGCAAAAGTTATTGATAACAAATCATGAATTTTTTTTATTTTTTTTGGCTTGTAATCTATTTCAACTTCAATTTTGAATTTTCATATCGCGCAGACAAGAAGTTATTGTCGTTATACTTGTTACTAATTGGGTATTACTAATGCTAATTAGTGAGAATAAAAAGTAATTGTCGCATCTTCACAAAAACAGTACAAAAGAATTAAGTGACAACAAAATAAACTATGATCGCTAATGCCATTTTTTCTCGTATTTGGGATGGGAATTGAGTGATTAGGCACATTACCAACCATGTAAAGTTAGATAGAAAATTGACCCCATCTTATAATTATAATGTAAAAGGATTTAATTAATTCATATAGTTCCGGCTGTTTATTTATTATTTATTAATTATTAAAATCTAAAAGAGGCAATATTTCAACATTCAATAAAAATAATATATAACTTGATTGAGACATATCCTAGAGGTTTGTTAAACGTGACACATTGCAATTCCAACATTTATTTTATTTTATTTTATTATATAGTTTTGTTGTTGTGCCTCCTTAAATGGCTGCTGAGATACAGTTCACATTGTCACATTTTAATATAAAGTTTTAATTTGATGTTTTGTTCTTATCACACAATTTTGAGTTGGATTGAAGTATTGGATAAACTCGAAAATTTAAATTTATTGAATTATTTTTAATAATTAAACAAGGTGTAGACAGGTGGGATAAATAAAAAAAAAAAAAAAAAAAAAATAGTTATTAATAAAAGATGTACATGGTGGGGCTGATTTAATTTATAAAATCATTTGGAACAACTTGTGTGTTTCATAATATGTTTGATGGTTATGTTGGACTATTCATAAAAAAGGAAAATAAGTGTGTGTTGCATGTGATTTTGGACATATTTCAACGTACTATGGTTATTTGTCACATTCATCTTCAAATTAACAGTTCGTTAAATTTATAAGATAATACGTATTTGAATTTGTTACATACATCTCTAAATTGAATTGAAATGCATGTTGCAACAATGAGTATTTTGTTCTATTTGGCCACTGATTTTACTTTGAGGAGCAAAAGGGAAGGTTTTTTTTTTTTTTTTTTTCTAGAGAAATCACATCAACTCGAAGTTTTATGTATTATCTATGTTTATAATAATAAATAAATAAATTTAAAAATTAGTTAGAACTATTAAAGGTGGACTTGAGCTCAAACTTTCGATTCGATTCATCAGGGTTGACGAGCCGGATTCATTTACATGATGATTCTTCTAATGCTAATCCAATTTTGATTTATTATGTCGCGAGAAGTAGAAATTATATGTATGGATATAATTTTTTTTTAAAGAAAATCATTAAATTGAAGAATTTGAGATTCAAATTTGGGACCTATCTTCAACAATGAATTTTAAATTCTTGAATCTCAAATTGAACTATTCTTTGAATTATTATGATAAAAATTAAAAATTAAAAAAATTCACTCGACATAAAAATTATTTGTCTTGGGAACCCTTCTTTTAAATTGATGGGCCCAAAATATAATAATTATTATGGGCATAAATCTTGCTTAAGCAACTTGGGCCGATGAAAGCCCAAATCCATATACTTCGGCCCGAATTAGCTCAATTAAATCAAGTATGAGTTTAGTGAAGAACCCAATCCCACATTTATATTTAATGTAATCTTGATTGCATCACAAATACTAATCATTTAATTAATTAAATGCAAATATAATTAGTGAATTCTTCATATTGTTTATCTTGTTCTTGTAAACGTACGTGTGTACTCACTAGTGGTTGCGTGCTACATTTTGGGCACGTATGAATTTCTCAAGTCATTTTCAATTGACCAATTTTTATTTAATATTATTGAAGATACTATATTATCATTGCTTGGACGTAATGAATATCAATTATAAAATGATTGCCGACCCAAAAAAATGACCTCTTTTCCTCCTCAAAATAATAATAAAAAAAGGATCTCTTTTTACTCATGAAACAACTAATCAAATATGTTGTTCGTCTGTGTATAGCTCAACTGGTGTATAGCTCAACTCGTTCCGATGTGATAAGTTGGTGCAATGTCCTGAGATCGAATACTGACAGCTCTACGTATGTGTGAAATTTCAACTTCAATGAGAGTTGATCTTTGTGGGCAACAGATACAGGTTCGATGAATTTTTTTATATTTAATTAATCCAACATTTTATAGTTGACAATCGAAAAAAGACAAAATAATTGAGTTCCTATAATAGTTTATTGGAGAATTGTGCATTGGACCACCTAATTGTCCAATTTTACATTTTCTCTTTGAAAAACAACTATATAATCTTATTTTTTGAGATTTTTCTAACAAAATAAAAAATGTTGTTTATATTATATTTATTAATATGTCTAAAGTTTAAACTTAGTAAAAGCAAAATGAAGTGGAATAACGAATGTCATAATTAGTGTTTGAATAAAGTTAGCAAATACATAAAAAAATAAATAAAGCGAACATTGAATGTCATTATTTGAGTAGCGTTAAGGAATAGTAAATTAGTAATACCTCATTTGTTCATTTGTGTTGCATGCATGAAAATATTCTCAATTAATTCCACACAAAAATAATTAAAATAAAACAAAATAAATAAATAAATAATGATTATTTTATATATTATGGGAGTGGTTGGGAATTATTTCGCATGTTACCATTCTCCCTAACAAGGGCCCATTACGAGAGGCACCCACTCCACCAATTTTAGAAAATACACAATTATTTATTTATTTTTTATTTTTCGGAAATAAATGATTAATGTTTCACATGAATTTAGATATTTTCATTATTTTAAGTAACTCCCTTAAATATCTTAGATATTTTATGAGAGGGTTTGATATAATCCCACCTTGCATCCTTGAAATATTACATTTTAACACTTTGCACCCTTAAAAAAATTTAATTACACTTTGTCTCATCAATACACAATAAATCATGGACAATGCACCCTAAATAATTTTTTTAGATTACCAAAGGTAATTTAATATTTTTAATGGTATTCGTTATGTTCGAATAATGCCTGGCGTTTGCATAAAAATAACTCGGATTTCCATAAGGTGGCGTCATATAATTTTTTTTTAAATATAAATGTATGATTACATATCGAGTGATTTTCATAGAATGTATCCCCTAAACCACATTAAAAATATCCATAGTTATTTATTAAAACTAGGGTAAATAACACTTATCTCCTGTAATTTAAATTTTGTGAACATGACTTTTTGTACTTTTAATATAAACAAATAACCCCTTATATTTTCAAAAATTTCATCATAATGAACATGACTATTTACAACTGTTTAATAAAAAGTACAAAAGAATTATATACACAAAATTCAAACTACGCAAAGATCATCTGCTTATATTGAAAATACATGGACTCATGTGCACAAAACTCAAACTACAGAGGATTAATTGCTAATTACGCTTATAACTAATTTAAGAAAAAAAAAAAACTCACACATAATTTCACGAGCACCAACCACTACACTAAAACAACTTGCCATTTATCAAAATAATGATAAAAAAAAATGAAATATAGGCATGTAG